CCTAATATAAATAGCAAATCGCTTGAATGTGTAAATAAAATCAAATATTTGGGAGTCATTATTGATCCACAATCAGTATTTACAAATAATGCAGAATATTTGTGTAAAAAACTTTTCAAAAAAATTGGCTTTTTTTAACAGAATATCCCAGGATTTGACACAGTGTACAATGCTGGTATATAACACAATTATACAGGGTGTCTGTAAAAGGTCTTTACAAAGACATACCACATATTCCTTAGACCAAAATAAGTTGATTTAAGTAAAATTACCTTAGTACAAAGTTGCTTCGTTTGGGCTCCAAGGGCCTTGAATTTACAATTTTTAAATCGTTTTTCCCATATAAATTTAAAACGGCATATGCGCTTGTGCTGAAAGTTGGTATATTGGTAGAGTTTTATGTGGCAAAAAAAATGGTATTAAAATTTTGTCCGATAATAATACATAGGCGTAAAGCTTGATTTTTTAAATAATTGCACCTTTAAAAATTCTACGCCAATGGAAAAAAAGGAGTTTGAGTATGAAATTTAGATTGCGCAACTCATTTACTTTAAAAAAGGTACTCTAGATAAGACTCGATTACTCTCATGGTTTTGACGAAATTTGCATTTTAGTAATTTTAGAACATAAACAATAATTATTAAAATACAAACTTTGTCAAAACCATGAGAGTAAATCGAGTGTTATCAAGGGTACTTTTTTGTAGTAAATGAGTACCCAATCCAAATTTCATACTCAAATCCCTTTTCTGCCATTGGCGTAGAATTTTTAAAGGTGCAATTATTTAAAATATCAAGTTCTACGCCTATGTATTATTATCGGACAAAATTTTATACGATGAAAACATAAAAATGTACTTTTTTCATATCTTCTTCAACACCTCTAATCGAGACTTTTAACAAAAATACTCGATTCTTGCCATGTACGATTTTTTGAGGAATATTAATTATTTGCCTGCAATACGTATACAAAAACATTTATTGTTGGTTTCCATAGTTTCATCTAAATAAAAATATTGTCAAGTTTTAACACCTAAGCCATATTTCGAGCGGTCTCTTTGGTTTACAAATATTTTCAATAACTTTTAGAACCAGTTTAAGTACTACGTCATAGATTTTGAAAGCGCTCAAATAGATGATTTTAAAACAGTGATGTCACTAACAGTTAAGGATTTGTGAGTGTGTAAATCTCTAGCGACAGATAATTTTTTGCCTCATATATTACCATAGTTTTATGAAAAATGGATCGTTATATTTAGAATCCGACTTTAACCAGTTATTTTAAAATTACAAATCAAGTTTTTAAAAATTACGAAAAATTATAAACCTTTATAATTATGCATTTTCTATTTTTTCTTATAACCGTAATATAAAAAATATTTTTTGATAATTAATTTTAATGCATGATCTTCGCTACTATTTTTGACATTAATGACATTTCTATTTCCTTAAACTGTTCTCAATGAAATGTTTCAAAAACAGATGCAGCTTGTTTAAACCTATTTCAACGTGACGTCATTGTTCGGTCACTCGAATGGGAATAGTTCAAACCGGTTTTGAACTGCATGAAATATATTTAAACCAGTAGACCGCTCTAATATGGCTCTAATCTCTTGTTAACGATTGAAAGTGTTCTATCTGACTCAATAATTAAAAAAACAAATGCGTGGTTTATTAATATGGCTGTACAATATACCAATGCAGAATATACCGATATGTTACTGACATTAGGATTTTGTGAAGGAAATGCTCGAGTGTACCTAGCCACCCAACTTTTGCTGCTGTTGAGAGACGTCTTCGGGAGACCGGTTCTTTTGCTCCCAACACTGTTGATAATGGAAGAGAACGTTTTGTAAGGATTCCTGAAGTTGAAGAAGACATTTTAGAACGTGTTGAAGAAGATCCAGAATTAAGCACCAGACGAATTGGGAGGGAACTAGGAGTAAGTAAAGATGTCGTTCATAAAGTGCTTAGAGAACAATTGCTATATTCATACCATAAGAAGCCAGTACAAGAATTATTAGTCCATGATCCTCAAATTCGTTTGGGTTTTTGTCGATTTGCTAATATGCAAAGAGAAAGAGATCCAAACTTTGTCAAGAAGGTTCTCTTTACCGATGAAGCGGGTTTTACAAGAAGAGGTATAACTAATACCCATAATGAACATGTTTATGCCGTTGAAAATCCGCATGCAATAAAGGTAAACCATTTTCAGCACGAATTCAAAATTAATGTGTGGGCTGGAATAATTGGTAATTTCATTGTTGGTCCTGTCATACTTCCACGAAGATTAACTGGAGAAAATTATTTGGATTTTCTACAAAATACGTTGCTGGAATTGTTAGAAGATTTACCTCTCCAACTTCGGAGAGATATGTGGTTTATGCAAGATGGAGCTCCACTACATTTTTCTTTAAACGTTGGAAACCACTTGAATGAACAATATCCACACAAATGGATAGGCAGAGGTAATGACACCTGTAAACTGACCACCACGTTCCCCAGACCTAACACCGATGGATTACTTTTTATGGGGACATCTGAAATCCATAGTTTACAGGGAACCTGTAGACAATGAGGAACAACTCTGGCAACGTATTCAAGATGCAATAAACAATCTTAGAGGTGATGAAGAAGTTATGGAAAGGATACATTTTAATTTTCTTCGACGTATAAATCTTTGTATGCGTGGAAATGGTGAACAATTTGCAGCAAAATCACATATGCCGTTTTAAATTTACATGGGAAAAACGATTTGAAAATTGTAACTTCAAGGCCCTCTGGAGCCCAAACGAAGCAACTTTGTCTTTGGTCTAAGGAATATGTGGTATGTTTTTGTAAAGAACTTTTACAGACACCCTGTATATCCGCATTTCAACTAATGTGCTTCACTTCTTCTAGCGAGCTTAAAGGGACAAATAGCAAGGTTACAGATTTTACAAAATAAATGCATGAGGATATTATTGAATTGCTATATATACACCTATAAGCACAATGCTGAAAGATTTAAACCATATGTCGGTAGAACAGAGTATTAAGAGATCGATCTAATTTTTGTATATAAAATGGTTAACAGGAAAGTGCCAAAATATTTGTGGAGCTTGCTATCTACTAGGTTCGACATGCACGGACGAATCAAAGCATTTTTGGAAGGATCTGCATTTTGTGAAGCGATTCGACTTTTTAATGCATTGCCAAACGATATAAATGAAAGTGTTTCACTATCCACTTTCGATAAAAAAAATGTGTTTTGTACTTGAAATATAATCAATTAACTTAATTTTTCTAAACTGTAATAATTGTATATATGTATCTATTAGCTTAAGCTAAATAAAGATTTATTTATAGTTTTGAATAATTGAAGTTATCAATTGAGATTTATATAGAATTGTCATATACGATAAATATATTACTGAATATCTGTTTATATTTGCTACAAATTGGTGACCCCAACATGTTACGAACTACTCACCTTCGACGCCAAAGTGGGATTTTCTCTTTTAAAGATGAAATTTACTAATAGAATATTTTTGTGTAACTTTAGAAACCGTATTTACTATTTTTAATGATACTTGGTCCATATTTTCACTTATTTAAAATAACATTTTTAAGGTTAAAAAATTTTTATTGGATCTAATATAAATTATACTCCCAAAAATATTACAATCAACACTAACCTTCCAAAAAATGCTAAAATTAAATTAATATTAGTTGTCAGATTCAAAATCACCTTTTTTTAATCATTTAATGTACGAATCAAAAATGGACTGTTAGTCAAAATTAAAACGGTGCTTAAGCACATCATTGAGGCTGTTTTTTACTTTCCTATCTGTATACAGATATAAGGAAAGTATAGGAATCATGATTTTTTCGACCTCGAGATTTCGACGGATTTTTACTTTTTGAGGTCCCCTGAATCCGTTTTGACTATTTTCGCGATGATGTCTGTGTGTGTAGGTCGCATAACCCATGAACCGATACACAGAAAAACACCAAATTTTAAACTTAAGCTTTATTCCAGCGTCTAATGAACTGATTAGATTTTGGGCAGAGTCGGAACATTTGGGGGGATACTTTATAGGTGGTCATTTTTATATTTTATGGAATATATCTGTTATTTACGTTTGGAGAAGAAAATTCTTCAAATAAAAGTTACTTCTAATATAATTATCTATAATTTTTATTCTATCCAAATTTTCCTAAAATGGTCCGTATTCGAGAAATTTGACAAAATGTAAAAAAAAATATTTTTTTATAAAAATTGTTCAAACAAAAGTTGTTTGTAATATAATTCTCTATAATTTTTATCCTATACATAATTTCTCTAAAATGGACCGTATTCGAGATATTTGAGAAATTTTGAAATTTGAAGAAAACTCAAAAACGGATAAAGAAACATTAAATTTTAAACTTAAGTTTTATTTCGGCCTGACGTGAAATGATTAGATTTTGGACAAAGTCGGAACATCTGGGGGGGGGGGTACTTTATAGGGGGCCGTTTTTATATTTTATGGAATATATGTTATTTATGTTTGGAGAAAAAAATTGTTTAAATATAAGTTATTTCTAATATTATTATCTATAATTTTTGCTTTATATCAAAATTTCCTGAAATGGTCCTTATTCGAGAAATTTGACAAAATGTGCAAAATTCTGATTTTTATGAAAATTGTTGAAATAAAAGTTGTTTGCGATATCGATCTCTATAATTTTTGTTTATACATGATTTTTCTAAAATGGACCGTAATGGAAAAATTGTAGGAAAAGTGCTAAATTTAAATTTTTCAGTATTTTCATTTTCAATGAATATCTATAGAAAAATGTTTCGAGGTAGATGTATGTGGAAAATGTACATATTTATTTTATCCTCTAAACATTTATGGAGGTGCTGCAATAGGTTGTACAAAATAACCGGAAAAAGCCTGTAATAACTAGATAGGAAAGTCATGTGTTGGACACATCAGATTTTTTTTAAAGGAAGGTTGAATAAAAACACTGTTTAAAACACACTTTTTTATTGACCTTACATCGATCCACGAATTTTAAAATACATAAAAAACAATAAATATAAAAAATTACGGACAGGCTGAAAATCACCATAAAAATACAAACAATTATAAAAAGAATACTGATGATGTTGACGATAACGAAGAAAACGAACAATGATAAGTAAAAGAAGAGAGTATTGGACATCGTTCAGATGCTCCTCCTTTTCACTCTGCGCCCCTTTCTATACCCCTTTCCAAACCAACCGGCTTGCGCTCTAATTTTGACCGTGTCCTTTTCACTCAAAGTATCCAATTCTTCTTCTTCAGTAGAGTAATCACAACACAAGCACACGTTAGCCTTGGTCTTCCTCTCCACCTGCAAAAAATATTCATCAACAAAGGTTCTACTTCAACAAAATACTGAATACAAGAAGCAGGTGCTATTAAAAAAAATATTATTGAAGAAGGATTAACTCTCGATCAAAATTTGAAGTTACACCGCTTAGTTAATTCTATAAAACAGCTCTTATGTTACAGCATTCCGTCCGTTTTTGATGGAATCGTAATAAAAGCATAGCGAATTCATCAAGAACTGCCATTTTGAGCGTTGCAGAAAACTAGTATCAGTGTCAAAAGAGTCAAAAAAAATATCTCGTTTGGATAAAACTTTCGTCAATAAATTCCTTGTAGTCCTAAACACCAGAAAATTGAAAGTGACAGATCCTGCGTTGCATGGCATGGAAAATGTTAAGGAGTCGCGTCGAATACCCAGAGATTTCAATAAGATCGCTAATTAAATATCTATCTAACTGAAATATTTAGCAATTTAAATATTTTTTTTGTAAAAATTAGAGAATGGTGCAAACCCTAAATAAAATTATCATAACAATGCTAACATTTTTATCATACAGGATATCTCATAAATAAGATATTTTGAATACAAAATTTGTACCTACTGCTGATGACCATATTTTAATTGTATTCTTAAATGTACAGTGTTTCATCAATATATTATTATGACTTATGACTATGATATATTGAGTGGTTAAGATCCTAGAGGGACTTTTGTAATAAATTCACAGGTAGGTAGGTATTTTTACATAGTCAACAACAAGCCTTTATTAATTTAAAGTTCATAAAATTGTTTTTATTTATTTGCAATAATGCATACAGGATTTGTCAAAACCAGATGGTATAATTAATTAATGTACTTTTTATTTTGTTTAGCATTCCCTATTGTATTTTTTTTTTTCAAGATTTGTATGGTTTTATCATGCAATAAAAAAAAATGAGTTAATTGAACCCCAGGGGGATATCGCGCATAGTGTCATGGCAGCGCTGAGGTCATGCGTAGAGTTAGTAGAGTTGGCGCCAAGTAAATATCTTATGACATACGCACGTTGCAGTGATTTGTAAGTTATTAATAGTGATTTATAACATTTTAAGCGAATATCTGTATTATATTATAATGTAAACAGTGTTTTTTGTGAGTGGTATTAGTGATAAACATTAAAAAATAAGGTACGCAATTTACGGATGTAACAGTAACAATCAAAGCAAGGTAGAGAAAGATGTTGTTTTTCACATTCCTCGACAGTAAGAGGTTAGTCAGAAATGGTCAAAGGGCGGCTCTAGTTGTAGGTCCCAGGGAGCCTTGCCTCTTTCTTAATTAACATTTTTACATTCCATGAGGCTTTTAATAAAAAAATATACTAACAAGGGAAATGTTATAGGCAATGCTTCCCACTCCTCGAAAATTTGACGAAGACGCCCTTGCAGTGGTCTGTGGCCATGCAGATAAATTTAAAACAGAAAATTGTCGTATGCTCCAAGCACTTTTAACCTTTTAATTATAAGCAAACTTTCACGTTAGTTCATTCGCAACTCAGGACTTCTTAACCGGGAACTTTACCCTTTCGAATGCTGAAAATTTCGCAATATATAGCAAAGGTGAAATTATTTATGTCGCAAAAAAAATAAAATCATACTTATACATAAATCCCATCTTATTCATAAAATAAGTTGTTAAGTATATTTAATTGGGTAATATATTGCAGATAAATGAGTCATCAGTTGCGAATCCTAATCAGGTAAATAATCCCAAGATGCGAAATTTTAACCCAGGGTCCCCAGTCGAGAAATTCCGAGCGGCGAAGATACCCAGCATTTAGTTTTCTTATACTTCGACAGTATTTTTAAATTCCCGCTTACACAAACTCTACGCATGACGTCATGCGCGTGGTCGTCCTATTTTTGACACCGTTGATATCCTACCTTCTATTTTTTATACCATGATTGAACCCAATATGAATCATATTTAAACACTCTGTATAAAATGAACCATTTTTATCATCACTATTCATTAGCTTGGTACCTTATAAATTTGAAATTTAAACAATTTTGAAATCATTGCGAACCTACCTAAAGATAATTTTTATATAGGGTTTGCATCATTCTCTAACTCAAAACAATAATTGCTTGGCAAACCTGTAATATTTGTCAAAAATATTGTAGAGTTGAATACATTATTACGGCCATTCTAAAACTAGTATTCCAGTGAGTCACAGATCACAGACATATAAACCTAAAATGTTTTAATTTTTTAGCACCAAACTCTATAATTTGATACCATAAGAAAAGTATCAACGAAAAAATATGTTCAAAATAATGTAATAAATACGAGGGTTGCCTTTTATATTTCGGGATTGGACAACCCTAGTGTTGCAAACTGGCAACTATCAGCTCTGTCGTAAAGTTTGACATTTTTAAGGTTATGCGTACTCAGCACTGATCTGTATTATTTTACTGGATAGGATATAGGCTATATTTAACATACTAAAAAACCGTTCCACCAAGGAGACCGAAAGTGCAACAATGCTGGCCGATTTGGGCAAATTATGGTGGGTTCACAGAACTGAAATTTGGGATAATTTGACATACCTAACCTATAATTTGATTAGTTTTTCTTCTTCTTTTCTTTTTGCGGGCAATGTCCTTCGGGAAAATTCACCCATGATTTGATTTTTTATGAGAGAAAATATAAAAATGGAAACGTGAAGCATATTGTGTCTTCAGGAATGAACGTTTATTGTTTATTTCATACTCTTTTTACTTTGTTTTCCACAATAAAAACATCTCATCGTAGCTTGTTGACACAATTAAATGACAAATGTGATGACAAATGGAAATAGAGGTTACGTTAAATAACATCCGGTCCGCCATATTATTTGCCCAAATCGGCCAATTTTTCGGAACGTCTTTTAGGGGGCTATATCCTATCCAGTAAAATAATACAGATCAGTGGTACTCAAAACGTTTTGACATACGAGCGCTATTTGTGTTGTTTACAGTAACTTAAAAGATTCATCTCGGCCAAAAAATGGAATTAAATCGTTAACATTTTCGTGCGATTATATTTTTACAACTTTCGACGTGGGTTAACTCAGGAACAGTGCATCGATGAACTTAATTCAATTTTTGGCGATGAAGCTCCATCAAGGAACAGTGTTTATCGATGGTATGGTGAATTCAATCGAGGTCGTAGTTCGCTCAGAGACGAATTTCGTGAAGATCGTCCAAAATCAGTTGTTGTTCCGGAAACCATTGATGCTGTGTGCGAACTGATATTGAAAGATCGTCATGTGACCTATCGTGAGATTGAGACAACCTTAGTCATTAGTGGGACCAGCATACATTGAATATTGCATGAACATTTGACTGTCAAAACAATTTATTCGCGTTGCATCCCACACAATTTGTCAATCGTTCAAATAAAGACTCGTGTCGATTGGTCTAAAGAAATGCTCAACAAGTATTAGAAATTAAAAATTTAAAAAACCCGACTTCAAAAACGTGCAGATGCGATTACCACATCTTAACCAAATGTATATGGGACCACCCCTGAAGTACCCCCTTTCTAACAAAAAAAGAATTATTGAAATCGGTCATCGTGTTAAATAATTATCGCTGAACATACATAAAAAAAAATATTGCGACGAATTGAGAACCTCCTCCCTTTTTGAAGCCGGTTAACAAGTATTAGAAATTAGAAATTTAAAAAAACCGACTTCAAAAACGTGCAGATGCCATCACCACATCTTAACCAAATTTATATGAGACCACCCCTGAGGTACCCGCTTACTAACAAAAAAAAGAATCATATGAATCGGATAAGGTGGTAAAGCATTATCGCTAAACATACATAAAAAATGAAGAGTTAGAGGATTTTCTCATGGACCCAATTATTAGATTTTGACTAAATTTATATGAGACCACCCCTAAAGTACCCCCTTTCTAACAAAAAAAGAATCATATAAATCGGACAAGGTGGTAAAGCATTATCGCTAAACATACCTAAAAAATGAAGAGTTTGAGGATTTTCTCATGGACCCAATTATTAGATTTTGACTAAATTTATATGGGACCACCCCTGAAGTACCCCCTTTCTAACAAAAAAAGAATCATTGAAATCGGACACCGTGTTAAAGAATAATCGCTGAACATACATAAAAAAAAAATATCGCGACGAATTGATAACCTCCTCCTTCTTTGAAGTCGGTTAAAAAATACGACCGCGGTGCTTTGAAACTCGTCTATGACATAGTGACAGGTGACGAATCGTAGATTTACGCGTATGAGCCCGAAAGTAAATAGCCCAATCGGATTAGGTGAAGAACAGGCTTGAGATTCTGAAAAATTCGAAGCAGCAATTTTCCTTCGGAATTCGTTGGAGGGGGTCTGTGGTAGTCTAAATTCAAAAAGTTGGGATTCCAAAGTTGTCGTTACCTCCGCCAGCTTGATTTAAAGGGTTATTTTTTGTATCTTGAATAATTCATTTATTTTCAATTTTACACGAAAAATAGTTTTTACAAAAGTTATTTAAAATTAAATTTCCTACAATTCTGCTTTTTTTTGTACGATCGATTTTTTTCGATTTATACCCGAAAAGAGGGGGTGAATTTTTGGTTATAGAATAACTCGTTTATTTTCAATTTTACGAGAAAAATTGTTATAAACAAAGTTGTTTAAAATTAAATTTCCTACAATTCTGTTTTTTTTGTACGCTCGATTTTTTTGTATTTATCGTCGACAATTACGAGGAAGAATCGAACGACGAAAACTTGGCCGAGCCATCGGCTAAACGTTCCAAACAGACGTCATTGACGTTTCGATAGACTTTTAAAAGTGTACTGAAAAGAAAATAAATTTCATTTTTTTAATTGTAAAAATTATACTGTTCGATAAACTGATTATTTACACCCCTCTTTTCCTTTACCGTGAACGTGCGATCCAACAATATAAACTTTAGAAAAAATCGGAATCATAATTGTACCAAATAACATTTTTGAAAATCAGCAAAAAAAAAACAAACAGAAAAAATAATGGTACAACATCAATAATAAACGTGACAATACAATACTTAGGTTCACCCCCACTCTTCTCAGGGATAAATACAAAAAAATCGATCGTACAAAAAAAAACAGAATTGTAGGAAATTTAATTTTAAACAACTTTGTTTATAACAATTTTTCTCGTAAAATTGATTGAAAATAAACGAGTTATTCTATAACCAAAAATTCACCCCCTCTTTTCGGGTATAAATCGAAAAAAATCGATCGTACAAAAAAAAAGCAGAATTGTAGGAAATTTAATTTTAAATAACTTTTGTAAAAACTATTTTCCGTGTAAAATTGAAAATAAATGAGTTATTCAAGATACAAAAAATAACCCTTTAAATCAAGATGGCGGAGGTAACGACAACTTTGGAATCCCAACTTTTTGAATTTAGACTACCAGAGACCCCCTCCAACGAATTCCGAAAGAAAATTGCTGCTTCGAATTTTTCAGAATCTAAAATACTAATCCGATTGGGCTAAAACAGCAGTCGACTGTATAGGTGTTTTAAGAAGAGCCAAATCCAACAAAACTTGTTCGCGCACGAAGCACTTTCAAGCAAATGGTCGCCTGCTTTTTCGGAAAAACTGGACATGTCGCAACCGTACCACTAGAACAACGCAGAACAGTCAATTCTGAGTGGTACACAACCATTTGTTTGCCAGTTGTCTTCCAAGAAATGAGGAAATCCAACCGCCAAAGACGGATTATTCTTCACCACGACAAAGCGAGCTCTCACACATCGGCTCAAATAACTGCATTTTTGAGCACTCAAAACGTCGATGTGATGAGTCATCCGCCGTATATTCCAGACTTGGCACCAAATGACTCCTTTTTTTCCCGTACGTAGAGAATAAACTGAGAGGTCCACGTTTTTCGCCACCTGAAGAAGCGGTTGATGTGTTCAGAATGCATGTTTTGGAGATACCTTAATCAGAGTGGCAAACGTGCTTCGACAATTGGTTCAAACGCATGCAGAAATGTATAGATCTTCATGGAGAATATTTTGAAAAACAATAAAGCGATTTTCGATGATTAATATTTGTTTTTGTTCTCTAATCCCGAAGTATAAAAGGCAACTTTCGTATTTATGTAATAAAGATAAATTGTTTAACGCATTATTTAAATAAAGCAAAGAGTTTTATAATGTATTATTGTATCATTATTTCAAATAATCAAAGCATTGTAACAGTGATTTATTAGTTTTAAAATTATATCAACGGTTGAAAGGAGAAACGGTTAATTAATACGCCAGTATTATGACTTTACAGGAAAGCTGTTTGAAGTTCGCTTAATATGATCCATCCAAAATTAAAAATGTTTAATAATAAAACTGGCTGATTGAGATAAAACATAATTATGAATACAATGTTGGCCAAAGTGGCGTATTAGTCATTTCTCCTATCAACCGTCGATACAATAAAATAATAAGTACAATTTGAGATGAGACACACAGATGTATGAGCATCTAGGTGTCTCCCAAGAAAAAAATCTGGATCTAATATAGATAATAAAAGCTTTGTAAAAGAATTATGTAACTATTTCGTATTTTGAAAGAAATAAAATATCAGTTAAATAAATAATCTTTAAAGTACTGAAGAAGATCCAAACGCTTTACAAACTAACCCGCATTAGTTTTATTAAACCACAAATAAAATACCAATGAAAAAGTGTAAGAAAAATAAAGCTTTTTGTAGAAAAATCTATAAATATTAGCATTACCTTGCTGTACCGGTCGATCTGGTTCAGAAACACCGGCTCGCTCTTGGGGTAGAACAAACACGAACCGGAATGCAAATAACCATGGCAGAAATCACAATCCGGCTCTCTTTTCTCCATCTTAATCTCCGGTTCCGAATAGAAGTCCTCCTGAAACGTCGGCAACGGATCGATGATGCTGTGCAGCCCGGAATACAGGAAGCTGGTCTGATAGGGATAGAGGAAGAAATCCGAATAGCCGCCCAACAAAAAGGAACTTTCGGAACTAAAAAAATCGACGCCATGGCGAGGTATCGGTATAGCGACGGCTTGAACACTCTTGGACTCCAATAAACTACTAATAGAAAACGGCTGAACTTCCGCTTCTTCTTTTTTAACTGTCGCTAACTTATTGCTATTATCACAGGTTCCCGAATTGTCTATATCTATCCGATTGAGATCAGATTTATTCGCTAAGCAGTCTTTATTACTCTTCGAATCGTTTTGTACTGTATCGTCTTTCTTCAAAAACGGTTGCGTGGTCGTGTGGAGTTCTAAATGATGCATTTCAGTCGCGTGCCAATGTATTGGATCTAGATTTCTATCGTACGCCGGTACCACTATGCCTAGAAGGTTCATAATCTTCTTCATGACGGCGTCGCATTTGCCGTGTATCTTCACGTTGGCCAGCTCGTCTTTCGGCGTCCATTGTAGGTTGATTATGTACAAATTGGCGCGTTTCTTCACTGGTTTCTCCATCTGCCACAGCCACGGGTACTTCTTCAGCACCTTCAATGACAAAAAGAACATTTTCTACGGGTTTGTTGTTGCAGACGATGATAAATCAATATTTTGAGAAAAAAATTGTAACTACGTAACGTAAGTGCTAAATCAAAAACATATTTTGAAGATAAAATTCTGAGAAAGTAAAAAAACTGAGAAAAAGTCGAAAAACAAAACAACATATGTGCTACATAAAAAAATATTTTAAAGACATTTTTGGAAACAAAGTCAAAAATTTGGTAAAATAAAGTCAATATTTTGAATTAAGAAAGTCAAACTTTTGAGAAACAAAATGATCAAGAATAGAAAAACAACATAAGTGCTACATGAAACAAGTATATTGAAAGACAAATTTTGAGAAAAACTCAAATTATTGAGAAAAAAAAAAATAAAGTCAAAATTTTGATAATGTCGAAATTGAGAAAAATAGAACTACGTAACGTAAGCGCTAAATAAAAAAGTATTTTAAAAAGAAAAACTTTTGATATATTTAACATTCTGAGAAAAAGACGAAAAAATGAGAAAAACAAAGAACAACTTAATATAAGTGTCAGTAAAACAATATTTTAAAAAGACCAAATATTGAAAAAAGTCCAAAATTGTGAAAAGTCAAATTTTTTAGAAAATAAGTCAAAATTGTGAGAATGTCAAAACTGAGAAAATAGAACTACGTAACATACGAGTGTCATAAAAAATTGTTTAATAAGGGCAAAATATTGAGAAAAGTCAACTTTTTGAGACAAAGTATAAAGTCAAAATTTTTAGAAAAAAGTCAACATTGAGAAAAAATGTCAACGCCAGTCACTAGCCAAGGATGATAAAAGATAATGTTGGGCACTTCCATAAGAAGCAATAATTAACGTATTTTATAACGTCACGAATAGTGGTGGGCAACATAATCGATTATTATATTTTTTTTAATCGATAATCGATTATTTTCAATTAATCTATCAATCAATTATTTTCGATTAATCGATTATTTTTATTAAAACGATTATTTCCGATTAATAGATTACTTTCGATTAATCGATTACTTCGATTAATCGATTATTTTCGATTAATCGATTATTTTCGATTAAACTATTCTTTTCGAGTAATCGACTACTTTTAATTTATCGATTAATTTTTTATTAGACGATTATTTTCGATTATTCGATTATTTTAGATTAATCCAGATTAATCGATTACTTTCGACAATTGATTATTTTCGATAAATCTAGTATTTTCCATTAATCCATTATTTCCGATTAGTCGATCATTTTCGATTAATCCAGATTTTTCGATTACTTTCGACAATTGATTATTTTCGATTAATCCAGTATTTTCCATTATCCATTATTTCCGATTAATCGATTATATTTTATTAATCGATTATTTTCGACAGTCGATTAATCGAATATTTTTAATTTATCGATTAATTTTTTATTAGTCGATTATTTTCCATAATTGATTGTTTTAGTTTTTTTTTTTATTTTTTTTTTCGTATAAACTGTTATTTCCGATTAATCGATTATTTTCGACAATGGATTATTTTAGATTAATCAATTATTTTCTACAATTGATTATTTTCGATTAATCGATTATTTTCAATTAATCGGTTATTTTCGACAATCGATTATTTCCGATTAATCGATTATTTTCTATTAATCGATTATTTTCGATTAATTCATTATTTTCAATTAATTCATTACTTTCGATTATTTTCGACAATCTATTAATCCATTATTTTCTATGAATCGATTATTTTCGTGTATTTTATACTAATCGATTACTTTTAATTTATCAATTATTTTCGACAATAGATTTTTTTCGATTAATCGATAATTTTCGATTAATTAATTATTAGTCGATTATTTTTGATTATTTTTTTATTAGTCAATTATTCGATTATTTTCAATTAATCGATTACTTTCGATTGTTCGATTATTTTTGATTAATCGATTATTTTAGATTAAATTTTTTTGAATCGATTATTTTATATGAATCGATTATTATCGATTATTTTCTAATAATCGATTATTTTAGATTAATCCATTGTTTTTCGATTAATCGATAATTTTTGATTAATCGATTATTTTAGATTAATACATTATTTTCGATTAATCGGTTATTTTCGATTAATTTATTATTAGTCGATTATTTTTCATTAATTTTTTATTAGTCGATTATTTTCGATTAATTTTTTATTAATTTATTTTTTTCGAATCGATTATTTTGAATATATTTATTTTCCATTATTTCCGATTAATCGATTATTTTCGATTAATTCAATATTTTCAATTTATTACTTTCGTTTATTTTAGATTAATCGATTGAACTATTCTTTTCGATTAATTATTAGTCGATTATTTTTTATTAATTTTTAATTAGTCGATTATTTTCGATTAATTTTTTATTAGTCGATTATCGATTATTTTCAATTAATCGATTATTTTCGAGTAATCCATTATTTTCTAATAATTCATTATTTCCGATTAATCGATTATTTTAGATTAATCCATTATTTTCGATTAATCGGTTATTTTCGATTAATCCATTATTTTAGATTTTTTTTTTTTTTGAATAATCGACTATCATTTTGGATACATCGATTACTTTCGATTAATCCATTATTTTCGATTAATCGGTTATTTTCGACAATCGATTATTTTTGTTTAATTATTTTAGAATAATCAATTATTTTCGATTAATCGATTATTTTCGACTAATCAATTATTTTCGAATAATCGATTATTTTCGATTAATCCATTGACTTTTTTTTCGAAAACGATTATTTTTAATTAGTCTATTATTTTCTAAATCGATTATTTTTAATTAGTCTATTATTTTCTAAATCGATTATTTTTAATTAGTCTATTATTTTCTAAATCGATTATTTTTAATTAGTCGATTATTTTCGATTAATTGATTATTTAAAAAAATCCATAATAAGAACAGAAATGTGATTCAGAACTGCTTAGAACACATCCACGACAACTATACGCGACTTTACTAGCTTTGGAACGATTTAGAACTGGTTGATAATTTTGTGTTGATTCAGAGTGTAATGCAGAGTACTCTACTTGGTGTGTCATTTCAATATTTAAATAGTGTTTTTATTTTGTGTTGTGAAGGGATGTATTATATTATTGTATTTTAAATAGTTCTTTTATTTAATCGTTTATTTGTATGCTTTTAATTCTTCGTTAACAAGACGAACAGGCATATCTCAAAATTATTTCAATCTGGATAATTTAACTTTGAAAGTTGCTTAAAAAATGCTAATAACATAAAATGTTGTGTCAATGCCAATATTGTAACGTATATAAATATATATAAAAACCGAAAACCCCTTTTGATGGACTCAACTCAAATCCAGGAATTTTTGGCCCCTTCGTCATGTTAGCGACGAATTATCAGGTTAAGGGAAATTTATTCTGTTCGACAATAAAGTTCTCTATTATTATATTTGGATAAACACGTCATTATCAACCTAAAAGTTTGTTTACATTTTTACGTAGGTTTGAGGTTATATGCAGTATTTCATGACATTATTGACAGTCTGATAAATCTAGTTAAGTAGCCCATTCTTCTTTATTTAGATTATCATCCGTTACCGCTTCATTTATAGGCATCTGATTGAAAAGTATTTGCCTTAGGCAGAAGGACTTCGATCGATAGCCTATTAGACTGAATTTTCAGTTCAATAAATGACAATTATTATTAAGTATTTGCCTACACGAGATATAAACCAATTCTAGCCATTAATGTGTTAATTTTGTGAAAAAGGTTTAATTTAAAACCCTTTAAGGTTAATCCTCACTATAGATTCGATTTCCATTCCATACCGGTTCCTCTGCATTTTAAAAAAATATTAAATGTAAGAAGAACGGAAAGTGTGTATATGTACATTTATTTACTTCTAATAATATTTTTTTGTAAACGGAACCAGTATGGAAACGGAACGTATAGTGAGGATCAACCTTTAATTGGTATTGTTAGTAAATAAAATGGGTTTTGATACGATTATTTGCACACATACCTTCAAGCTGGAACCCAAACAGATGACAGTAGTGGCTTTGCTAGCGTTCTTGCAAGCTCCGGCCCAATTTAATGGCCACTGCAAGTTGCCGCGTTCCCCAAAATGAACGATGGTATCCGTCAACGGTCCGTTGCAGACGTAGCACCGTCTGTAGGTCTTGTGCGAAAATCTGGCGGTGTTTTCAGTGACGTCGAAGTGCCGCCAATATTCGCGATGCGGTTTGCATTGTTTGCAGACTTCGATGTACATGTTGCCGTGCAATTCGGACAGAGCCGTTCTGGGTAGACCAGAGCGCAGATGGAGGCCGTCGCAGTTTTGGGATACCACATATTTTAGGATGTTTTTGCGGTAGAGCTCGGCCAGAGCCATATGTGTGTAAGTCGGTTCGGCCAAAGATAGATCATAATTGCTGGCAACAAAACATATGTCAGTAAGTCAGAATACAAAATAGATGAATATTAATATCTTTAAATCTTTAAGGATGCTGAGTATTTCGGTTTGAATAATTGAATCTATCAATTGGGAGTAAAATAAAGAATAATAATGTTTTGTACCTCTAAAACGAATCATTATTGCATATACTGTGTACACTTTTACATAAATTAAAATTAATGGAATAATCATTATCCAAACAAAGAAAATTATATTACTAATATTCTGACATTTGATCACCTTTATAATCGTTAATAGTGAGACTAAAATTTAAAAAACCTTTTTTTTTAACACTGACAAACTATCTATTAACTTCACTTCAGACAGCAATTTATTATAAAATATGCTATTATCTATACTTTTTTCCAGTTAGAGTTAAGGTACGTTTACATCTGCCAGTAGCCACAATAGTCACTGCCAACCTATTTTTAAATAGTTGGGTATTTTACCACTACCATGTTGTTTTATTTTAGAGTGTCTTTTATACATGAAAAAACAAATTGGTAATAATAATGTTATAAGACAAAGCTCTAAACATTCTTATTGCACTAGAGGAAATTATGATATATCTTTACCTAATTACAGATTAACCAAACTTCATGATTCTTATAGATATATCAGTATTAAACTGTACAATTTTCTACCTCAAGCTTATAAAAACTCATCTTCTAATTTATTTAAAATAAGAATTCCCAAATGTTTGTCGAGTCACTGCTTTTATTCCATTGGCGAATTCTTATCACCTGTCCATCTGTGCATGTGATTAATGTGTAAACCTTCTTGGTGAATATACCTTTTTAATTTTTATCTTTTTTTTGTCTGTATTTTTCTAAATTGTAACTGTATTTTCTGTATCTATACCTATAGGTATATCTTTTTTTTATACTTTTAACATTGACACATGTAAAATATTTATTTTTATTTTACATCAATAAATATCTATCTATTAATTAGCCCAAAAAAGATGAGTAAATTCAATATTCTGGGTATAGCTTTAGAAATGCTGTAAGAAATAGAACCCTTTGATTTTTGAATATTTGCATCATTCCTAATGATATTTATTGATATTTTATTATTTTAAAAATTTATTATTACTTATATTACTTATGGACTGAAAATGGCGGCCGTTTCTGTCATTAAACAACGTGTTAGTAAATCATGCTTTTTATAATAATAATAAAGAAAAATTACAAGGAAATTGCGATATAATTTTTAACAGCAATGTTGTAAGACTGAATTGAACATAAACATATTCCATAATAACTAATCATAATGTGACATTATCATTAAAAACTTTAAAAAATTTGATTGCAAGGATTAATAAGCAAATTATTTTCAATGAATTATCTATCATTTTTATTAACTTTTCCACATTATGAAGTTTGTATGTTTGATAATTATTACAAAAAGCATGATTTCAATTTGCAAATTTTGACACATTTTTTAAAATTGACTCATTAATTATTATGTCATTTTAGTACACCCTGTTCACCACCAATGTGACATGCAAGACTGAGTTACATATCCATTGGATCTTGGGTGACAACTAATGGTTGACCAATCAGAAAAGCAAACGTCATATGTCAAAATAATGGTTGACCAATTAGAAATGCAAACGTCATGTCAAATTATTTTAATGTACAATACATTTATACATTAACTACTAAAACGTACTACCACTATCACTAAATATATCTTTATAACTAATAGAAGAGTCTTATAAAAGTGACAAATAACCACAAATAACTAAAAAGCATAAACAAATAATAAAACCCACTCAAACACTAAAAATTAACTGTTTACGTTCTACTTTACGTTTTGTTTAGGTGTTTAAGACTTCAACCCTTCGACATTTGACAGTTTTTTGGCTTGTCGGTTGCATCGTTGCGAGATTCTCATTATAATCAATACAATCGATTTTTAATTTTCACAAATTCTGTCAACAAAAGCATGAGTGATCATATTCTTGTCAAATTTTATTTTTACATAACTAATATTATGATGCATTTTAGAGATTGTACATAAAAAAAATCAAATTATTTTATTATGGAAATAAATCAAGAAAATATTCAAATTATAAAATAATTGATTTAGAAGTTTTGCAAATTTTTAGGTATAATGTAAACAAAATTCTTCGAAATAGGAAAAACCATAAAGTAATAAAATTTCTACCTAACCATAAAATATTTTCACTCCAATCCAAAAATTGAGACGTGGAAAAGTTCAATTGACCCTGTTCTTTAGGATTAAAATTATTATTTTGACCATCAAATATAGTTTACAAGTGAATCCAATGTACCAGTAATGTGAATAAATATTGAAACATTATTCTAAAGTACAATTTGATATTTATTTTTTGTTTTTGTCACATTTAACCTACTTGCTACTTACCAAATAGGTAAAGTTTTGACAGATTATTTTTTCATGTTACAGTGCAATTATTAAATTGAAACTAAATATGGCCAAATATATTATTCTTCTAAAATATTGATTGGTATTTGTGTATCTAGATTTGGCAACCTGGATATAAAGACAAGTACACTTAAAAATAAAATTATAAATCGAGCTAGTCTACAGTTATCATACAGTTATCGCCATCTATGTATAATGTATTGAATACTTGCTTTGTTACAAAACTGCTGACTTAAGTGTGGCAGCCTTAATACTTGTCATTTGTTTGTTTGTTTGTTTTTAAAATGATCTAAAGTTGCAAATTAATATAATCATTTTTTATTTTAATGGGGATTTCCCATATGTTCTTCAATAAATAAAACAATGTGGTTGATCAAATGCAATTTTACTTACCCAATATCTTTTCCTTGCTGCAGCCTGGTCCATATACCGTTAGTTCCTCTGTAATCTGGTATTTTGGCAGCAGTACTGATGCCAGCTCCAGTATAAACCACTAAATACTGAGACTGGGCAATTGCTTGAGCAAGAATGTGGCATTTACCTTCCAGAACTTCCTCAGAATCCTCTAATTCCTCCAGTCTTCGTTTAGCCTCTTCCCTTTTCCTCCATCTTTCCAAAATCTCTTCTGCTACATCATTATTTTCTTGTAAAACTATGGTATCTTCATTAGTTCTATCATTCTCGCTTTTCTGAAGTATGGAGGATATCTGGAAGAAGATGCATGTGAAATACTGACGAAATTTAATAAAACATTGATATAAATATACTACGAGGTAAATTCTAATAAATATTTCGAATAAACATAACTATAGGTAAACAATAATTACCACACCTTTTTAACAAACGCATTTCGTTCTTCTTTGGCACATACTTTTTTAGTTGATTGTATTGTTGATTTCCTAGGTAATCTGAATCGTTTCGAACAGGACTCCTCTCCATCGTTGCCGTCTATATCTAAAAATGTACTTTCAGCTACGTCCTGTTCCATTGCCAATAATATTGCTTTTTTGCTATCATTGTTTGACGTTCTTGGAATGCTTTAATTTGATTCCCATTTTCATTAAGTCTTTTATTTGATAGAGAGTAATTCAGGACGGTTTATCTATTTTTGTTATGGTATTTAACTTCCGTAACAGTACATTTAATTTTATTTGACTTTCTCCTCTCCTCTCCCTCCTTACACCGGAAAACTTTTTTATTATCAACATACAAATTACAAACGAACGTGAATACACTCCATTAACGTTGACGTCTAGTTCTAAACATTTGTCATGGTGCGAGTCGAGATCGGAATAATGACTGGGAACGTGCAATGTTGCCATTTTATATCTCTTTTACAGTAATAATTTGATATTGCGCCTGCCAACTTATGATGTAAATAACAAAATAAATCATACAATGTGCATGTATATTGAATAAAAACACTATAGATCAAGAACAATTTTTTTTATCAAATTCAAGGAAATACGAATCTTATATGTTAAAATCACTAATTTACTATTATTATTTATGGATCAGAGCCCATTATAATTTTAGGGCTGATTCAAACCTTGTGTTAAAACGAAGATTATAATATATTACTAAGCGAACATTAAAATAACATTGTTAACAGAGCTGGGCAAAATACTTTTTAAAAGTATTTAAATGCTAAATACTCAATACTTTTCCATAAATACGATTATTTATTATTATTATTTATTAATTTAGATACTATAAAACTGCATTATAAATTATCGCCCAGTTCTAAGCTATGTTTAAAATATAAAAAATGAAATAAAGTCTCTAGCTAATTGGAAGTTTGTTTAAAATCAATTGCAAAATTTATACTGAATATACAGACATACATACCCAGACAACACACCAAATCCCAGAGACATCCACAGAATATCTTTTGTGGATATCCAATATATCCATAGGATATCAGAAATATTCCGTGGATCTAATATGGATATCCAAATGTCCGTCTATATCCAGAATATAGAAGATATCCTAATGGATATTCAGCAAAATATCTAATGGGTATCTTCCAGAAAATACAAGAAATCCCAGAAATATCCAGAGAATATATTTTGTGGATATTCAATATATCCAATATGTATATCCAACCAAATGTCCGTCTATATCCCAGGATATAGAAGATATTCAGATATTCAGCAAAATATTTTATGGGTTTTTTTTAGTAGAGGTTCATAAGTAACCAATGATTATTGAATAACGTCGAAAGAAAATAGCAGAGATAAAAAAATATTTTCAACACACTCTGCCTTTGATTTTGCCCACTAAGGAGAAAGTCATCCTTATTAGGACTCTTCAGCAATAAATGAAAATTCTCGACTCCAGTCTCTAATGGAGTCGAACTCAATTACGGCTGGTCGAGCATGAGTAGATGCGATATAGTGGTATATATACTTTAGTAAGCAGAATTAAATAACATCTAGTGGATATCCACGATGGTTTGCGTTCGCGCCTAGACTTTGATATATTTAGTGGATGTTCATGGGATATTGAATACACTTTAAAAAAATTAATTTTAAATATATGAACGGTACTATTAGCCACAATGGCGTAATTTTTTAATAATTTGCTATATAATTACTATTATTTATGGACATTTGCATGTCTAAAATTATATTTCATGGATATAAAATAGATATCTACCATGGACAGGACATTCAGTGGATATTGGGATGTTCAGTAGATATCCAAAGGATTTGGTGTGCTGTCTGGGTACATATATACAGGAAAGCGAGTTAATAAAAACGTGCTGAAGTACGCATACTATTATAAGTACACTGCAAGAAAAAATGCGTGTTCCGCAGCAGTTTTTAAGGTAAAAAAGAGTCAATATTTTGCTTTTCAATTGTCTCAAACTTACGATTTTACCAAATGTTTGAGAAAATATTTGAGTAAACCAACCAAAAACTAAGCAAAAACAACCAAATCTAGCCAAAACTGATCAATCAAAACCAGTAATAACTGCTTTCGCTATTTTATTCCATCAGCTAAAGTCTTTTATCTGGCAAATTTTTGATTTAGATATATTTTTAAATTTATTGCCACAGCAAGGGCATAAAAATTGTTTGCTAATGGATAAAAGTACTGCTTTTAATAATTTTTCTTGTATTTGCCATTATTTAAACCGTGCAGACTTATTTGGAATTATATCCTTTCTTGTATAGACTTACTTTGAACTGACCATCGCTGTACCTTTAACATTTTTTAATTACTGTGTAAAATCACAAATCATAATAATAAATACTTATCTTGATTTATTTCTTTTTTCTTGTAACACAAATCACAACAGTCACAATTTGACAACTAGCACAATGAATAATCTTCTCTAACGCTTAAATACGAATTGATACTTCAGCACTTCATCCAAACTATTTCGCACGTTTGGTTTAATACAAGTTAAAACTTGTTAAAACATATGTTTTTATTTTTGACATAAAAAGGTATTTATAAATATCGGAAAATGTATTTAAATATTAAAAAAGTACTTAAATGCCGGATAATTATTTAAATTCTTAAAAAGTATTTAGAATATTTTAAAAAAGTATTTAAATACTTGAAATGAAAGCAGTATACAAATATACCGCTCACCCAAAAGAATTTAAATATCTAGTATTTAAATACTTTTAAGTATTTACAAATAAAAATACTGCCTAGCTCTGATTGTTAATGTAAAAAGGTAATTTTAAATTTCAATTGATTGCGGGCATATTTACTTATAATAATATTACACAAAAAAACTTTAACTTATAATTAACAAGAAATTAGATTCATGCCATATTGTAGGTATATATTGGACCATTGGACCAATTTTTTTTTGAAGGCAAGTGTCTACAATAATGAATAATTTTGAATCATCTACAATTTTGAGCGTTAATGCCAGACATCCAGTTTGTCCGTATAAATTTAAATTTGGCAACGTTTTTTAACTTCATATTTCAATCGAGACTCGCATGGGGTAAACACTAGAGGACTGTTTAAATTTAGTAAGTTCAACGGGTTTGTTCTGTTAGAAGTGCGTAGTGCAGGTGCAAAACAACTAACGTTACATATTAGTAGGTGTTTTGTGTTAGAGAGAGAGATAATTAGACATTCCAAACAAATGAATTGCCAGTGGGAAGGTTTGGTATATCTAACGGTTGCGACATACGATGTAATCTATCTACAATACGTTAAATCATGAATAATGGATAACATTTAAATATTTTATGTCGAACACAATAAAAATATTTTAAAAAACTGTTTGTAGATTTTTTTTTTTAAAATTGGCAAGCTTAGCGACGGATATTTCGAATAAAAATAGCGTCCAAGATGCAAGACTGTCGCTACCCTCTTAAATATACGAGACTCCACTGGCAGGGTATTGTTTGACAGGTCGTTGGAATGTCAGAGCTTTGTTTTTTGATCAGAGTTTGTATTTGCAAATAATGGCAAATTTAACATTAGGAGTTTGGAGTACTTCAGCTGGCCTAAAACGTATTAAATTATCCAATATAGACTTAGAAAATAAGGTACAAGTTTTTAGAATTCAAGCTTTGCAAGTGTTGACGAACGTGCGAGGAAATATAGGTAATGACTTTCAAAATGCAATAACAACAAATTCAAATACATATAACTATTGTTCCAGAATTATCGTATTGCGGTCTAATTTTAGAAGATGAAAATAAATTGTCATCCTATGGAATTACGGATGGCGTTACGATTCACGTTTTGGAAAAATACGAACCCAAACCGCAACTAAAAACTGAATCGAAAATCACTCCTACGGAACTTATTCACGGCTTTAGGACTCTCGGTTTGTTTCCTAACTATAGGTATGCATTGCAAAGGCTCACAAGACCAGATGTCGTCGATACAATACTGTCTGCATGTCCAGAACTATATGATGATCCAGCTGCTATAGGTTTAATCCAAGATCCAGAACTGATTTATTTTTTATCAAATCCTGAACACGCGTCTGAAATGATTGAAAAGCATCCCGTGCTACTCACAGCTGGAAGTCATATTCTTGCACAGGTTCGCGAAGAACAAGCTAGCTTGAATCCCAATGCACCCAGTACTAGTACAGGTTATTCATACTCTTTAGATGCACTTTCAGATGATGATGAAGAAATGGACTCCTCCGATAACACCTTCTCCCAAAATCCTCTTACCAGAAACACCTCATTCAATGCTATAACAGCAGCACAATTGGCAGCAGCAATTGCCAATGCTACAGACACGCAATTTAACACAAACAGCGCCGGAATACCGACGGCATCTCACTCCTCTTCCAACATTATCACCTCCGAGATGTTCTCCAATGCCATCCAGCAAGCCATCAACTTCGGGGGTAGTCGAGGAACTCCCACAGGGAACGCGCCACCCAGGGTGGAAGAGGAGAATTTCGAGAGCTTGAGCCAGCAGTGGCAAGCACAGCTCAAACAGATGCATGAAATGGGACTGATCGATGATACTGTCAATATTAGAGCTTTGAGGGCTGTTAACGGCGATGTGAATGCTGCTATTGAACTGGTTTTGGGTTTGAATGAAATGAATTAGAGTTGCGCTTCATTTATATTTTATTTATATTAAAAGAAATTTGGTTAGAACAAGTATTTTTATTGACAGGCTGTGCATCTGTTCTGGGCAAAGCTTAATCACAATATGCTTCTCAAAAAACTAGTCTCATATTATGGTTTTGATGATGATCTGTTTTAGTAATTTAACTGCACTAATCTTCTATTTATAAATGATTACCCAATATAATTAAAAGCAAAAAGCTCGTCTTTGCAGATAATTAACAGACTTCAAAAAAGGAGGAGGTTCTCAATTCTGTACCATCTGTGAATAAGTGGACAAGTCAAATTTTTGTAAAAATGAGATGTGCATATATCTATAGTTCTTTTCCCATTCTGTCTGCTGAATAATTGGGTAATTCAAATTCGCAATAGTTTACTTCAGAGGACGCCATGAATAGTTGAATTTCTTAAATTTTTTGTGCCAAAATTGGTAACTACAGCTATCCCCGAGTTTGGAAGAGGTTGATCCAGATGGTCTGTAGGTTTTTATTTTTTAATCAAAATGTATGTTATTTTGATTAAGTTTACTTTGCTTTTCATAAATAAATAAAAACATTCATGACTTTTTGTCCCGTTTATTTGCACTAGAACAAGTTAGCAACGCAACTAATTTGGAGTGAATAAATAGGTAGGTCAGATTTTTTCCAGTAAGTAATATAATTTGAGAGATCATAATTATTTACATTTGTTGGTTGCATAATTAACAACTTATTTCTAAAAAAAAACAAGTTCATTTTAAAATTTGTGTTTTTTTGAACACATCAAAATGTTGAAAATAGCCATACTAAAAAACTTCAATTTTTGACTTACCGACTTATTCACAGATGGTACAGAATTCATTGGTATTTTTAAGCGATGTTCAGCTATAAATAATTCTTTAACACGATGTCCGATTTTAATGATTCTTTTTTGTTAGAAAGGGGGTATTCAGGGGTGGTCCCATACAAATTTGATCAAAATCTAATAATTGGGTTCATGAGAAAATCCTCACTCTTCATTTTTTATGTATGTGTTGGCGGCCTGTGATCTTTTCAGAAAGACAGACTACCATTTAGGTGAGGTAGCCGACACTAACGTACTAGTGCGCCTCTGGAGACCACCCAGAACTTCGCTGGGGCCTCCATTAATTACTCGTGGGACGAAACATAAATAAAAACTCACTCTTCCTCTATGCGTATTTATTCACGCTTAAACGATGGTGCCATGCAGGCAAAACAAATGGGTTACATATTATAATGGCAAACTGCCGAAGAACTATAAACACAACTTAAACTACAATTTTAACAAACATGGGTTCTATGAGATAAAACAATTTTTTTTTACATCTTGTCGATGGAGAGTCTGCAGACTTACTCGTTGTCTCTTTACAAAAACTTAGAGCCCACTTCCGTGATGTGGAAATGGTTAAGCTTACGTCATGTATTTTATTTCTGATTGGTTACACATTTATTAATTTTTATTTCGTGAGGCGTGGCTTCGCTAGTGAGATTGTTAGAGGTGTGACTTTATTTTTATGTGTAAAGGTGGTGTTATGTATGAGATAATTGTTGTGTGTTGTCGCATGCTGCGTGAGTGTTCAAATGTAATTTGAACAGTATGTTTAGCAATAATTCTTTACCACCTTGTCAGATTTCTATGATTCTTTTTTGTTAGTAAGGAGGTACCTCAGGGGTGGGTCCATATAAATTTGGTCAAAATCTAATAATTGGGGCCATAAGAAAATCCTCGAACTCTTCATTTTTTATGTATGTTTAGCGATAATTCTTTACCACCTTGTCCGATTTCTAATATTCTTTTTTTGTTAGTAAGGAGATACCTCATGGGTGGTCCCATATAAATTTGGTCAAAATCTAATAATTGGGGCCCTGAGAAAATCCTCACTCTTCATTTTTTATGTATATTTAGCAATAATTCTTTACCACCTTGTCCGATTTCTGATTCTTTCTTTTTTTTGTTAGTAAGGGGGTACCTCAGGGGTGGTCCCATATAAATTTGATTAAGATGTGGCGATGGCATCTGCACGGTTTATTAAAATTACTTTTAATACAAAAATAAAAAACTTTTACTTTAAAAAGTATTATAACTCAATTTAATTAGACAATTGACAACACTCTACTTGAAAAGGTAGATGAAGTAAAAGATGTAGGCGTTATCTTTAGCAGTAATTGTAGGTTTTTCATCACATTTAACAAAAACCATAGCATCTACGAAGAAAACACTGGGTATTAATTTTTCGTAAGTACAACTTTAATAACATTTAATACTTAGCAAAGTACATGGTATGGAAATTATATAGCACGACTGAACAGGAGAAATGCGCAGACATTTTACCGCTCTACTCCTAGAACAAACATTATGATGAACTTTCTCTTGAAATAGAATGTGAATTGATTTTAATGAAAATACTAAAGATATTGACCCCATGTTTATTAATTAAATTAATTTAAGAATATAATCAAAATGTTTATATAATAAGATATACTTATCATACATTAGTTGATTTCTTTATCCTTCTTTCATTATTTACCTATTTTTATTAAATTTGGACAATAAAGGATTTTTTGTTTCCTTTACAAACTCTCGACAATAGATTTTTTATAATGTACTTTCACGAAAAATATGCAATATAATACTGTATATTTTTATGTTCTTTTTGCTTGTTTAATTACTTTCTTCACTATTTTTTTTTGCTATTTTTGAAGTCTTTATCTAATAGTTCTTGGCGTTATTGTATGCCAATCCCTACCCAATACTAAAATAAAAATAAACTGTTTTTTTTTTCATATTATATTAACACTTATTTTCCTCAAATAACAAAATATTATATTCTATACTTAGTTGGCGACATCTTTGCACGCTTGGAGCAGCTCTGAAACGAATTATTAATTAAAAAAATAAATAAATACTCTTCAATAAGAATCTTACTGGCTACGATATCTTTGGAGGCTTTCAAAGCCTTCGAGTCTGCCAAAACCGTTAGAAAATCTTTTCCTTCATCGCAACATCGAGCTATTCTAGGATCCAATGGTAAACTACCCAGATATGGGACACCCAACTCTTCGCACATTTTCTGAGCGCCGCCGGTAGACGCGGGAAATATTTCTGATGATTTCTGAAACCAACATCGCTAGAAAATTATTGCGAAAAGGGTACTATTAATAAATCGAGACAGAAATTCAATACTAAAAGGAAATTTAAGAACCTAAATATTGAAAAATTTAAAAGTGATTTACAAGCAATTTACTGGGATGGTATATTCTTTATTGATAATATTTATGACAAGATCAGCTTCTTAACTGACAATGGGGTCTATTCTGTAACTATTTCTTTATATTTAACGGCCTTTAAAAATATTGGCGACCTTTAAAAATATGTTTGTATTCGTTAATTTACTTCTGTCATTATTTAAACAGATTTCTTTAAGATACTCCTCTAATGTATTTTAAAGATCCGTTTAAATAATGACAGAAGTAAAGAAGAAAATATTTTTAAAGGCCGTTAAATATAAAGGAATTGTTACAGAATAGACCCCAATATAACTATGCTTTTCAATGAACATGTACCCTTGGTAAAAATCAGAGTCAGTAAACCACCAGCTCTCTGGCTTACTGATAATTTAAAGTTAATTCTCAAGGAACGGGATAAGGCATTATCTAAATTTAAATGTAACAGAACACCTGAAAACTGGAGGCATTATAAGGAATATCAAAATTATGCTCTGGACTCAATTAGGAGGGAAAAAGCAGCATTTTTATCCAGTTTGCAGAATGAAAAAAATGAGAAACGTTTATGGAAAGGCCTACACAATATGAATGTTCATTCTATTTTAAAAAATGATTTACCTGTGAACCTACAAAATCCTATAGAAATAAATCATTATTTTACTAGCATTTTTAAAAAAATCTGACAATTGTCTTAACAAGATTCATTATTATGCTAATAATAAATACCTGAACAATACTTTTAATTTTACCCTAATTAATCAAAATAATGTCGGAGATGCAATAAATTCAATCAACTCTAATACTTCCGGAAGTGATGGTATGTCTTTGTACATGCTTAAACTGTGCCTACCTACTATGTTAGATCACATAACACATATACTTGATTGCTGCCTTCAGTGTGGCTATTTTCCAAGGGCTTTGAGAGAGTCTGCCATTTGTCCTATTCCTAAAATATCTAATCCTAGTTTGGTACAAGACTTATTGCTTGTTGCCTGTTATTTCTAAGATTTTTGAACGAGTTATGTATAGCCAGTTATTTGAATATTTAACTACTTATAAAATCCTACCTGTACAACAATCTGGCTTCGTTACTAAACCTCTGTGAAAATGTTATTCGTGCAATTGATAAAAGATTTGCTGTTGTTCCAATTGCCTTGGATTATTCTAAAGCTACCGATTCAATTGATGACGAACTTTTGTGCGCAAAACTTCAGTAATATGGATGTAGTGATATTGTTTTATCTTTTTTTCAAATCTTATTTGTGGAATCGTACTCAGAAGGTAGTGATTGATAATAACTTCTTGGAATCAAAAATCATTATTTCAGGCGTCCCCATCATGGGTCCTTTATTATTTTTAGTATACACCTCTTTTTTACCAAAAGTACTTGAGGATAGTCAAGTTCAACTTCACCCAGTTATTAAATTATTTCGAACCCGATATATGCAATACTAACAATCTGATTAATAGAGATTTGCAGTTTCTATTACAATATTCAAAAGAACACAATCTTACTATTAATCCTTCAAAAACTATTGCTGTTGTTTTTCGCAGTGAAGCCAGACATGTTGTTATTGAGAGAACAATGAGACTCGAGTTGGATGATGTTAGTATAACTTTAAATAACAAATAAAAAAATTTGGGTTTACTTATTGATCAGTCTCTTAGATTTAAGAGTCATATTAAGACATTGATCAAGAGATGCTACTAAAGATTGCAGTTGCTTTACATTAATAGGCATATATTGAACTTTAAAATGAGAAAAAAAACTGTGAATATTTAGTTTTATCAATATTAAGTTATTGTTTACTATTCTTGTCTGGACACAAAGCCAATTACAGCTTATACAAAATGTTTGTTGCAGATACATTTTTGGTTGGAGGAAATATGATCATATCTCAATTTATTTCACTCGGCTGAAATGGCTCAAAGTTGACAATCTATATCAACTAAATCTTTTAATATTTTTGCATAGACTATTAAAGACAAGGAACCCTGCCTATTTGTTTGAGAAATTAATTTTCTGAACATCTGTTCATAATGTTAATATTAGACATAATATGCTTACAATGCCTCATCATTCCACTGCAAAATTTGAAAGAGGTTTCACTTATAATGTTGTTAAAATGGTTTTATTTTCTAAATTGGAAGCATCATTGCATATCTTTAGACCTGATATTAAAAAGTATTTTTTGGCTAAGCAATAACCTATTTTGTTTGGATTTCTCATATATTTTTTTTTCTCTATATTTTAATTCTTGTTCGTTGTAATTATTTATATGTCTATTTGTTATTAATACTATAAGACTACAGATCATTATATTATTACTATGTAAATAGTATGCTATTATGTCAACTAGGAAAGTTAAGGGTTAAGAGTAGCTGTATAGCTAACCTTCTCTCCCTGGTGCAAATGTATGTATGCATTTGTTTTAATAAAGACCTATTATTATTACTATGAGCACATACAATTGTGTCTCAAAAATTGAATTAAAAAAAAATTGAGTGAAACCTGTATTTATATATAAATAAATGAGGCCTACACCACTGAAGTAGTCATAATCAGGCAATCATCGTTGGCATTACTGCCAAAATATTGTTGATGTAACACAATTGTAAGCTTACCTGACAAGTTGGACAAACAAATGTAGACATATTTTCGACAACGCCCAAAACTTTGATTTTAACTTTGAAACAGAAATCAATTTCTTTTCTAACGTCAAGCAGAGCGACTTCTTGTGGTGTTGTTACCACTATAGCTCCAGTTAAATTAGCTTGGGATAAATATGTCACAGCCGATAAGTGTTCATCAGAAGTGCCTAAAACATATACATATATTTAAATTTGTTTGGAGTACAAAAGATTTTTGGTTACCAGGTGGTGTGTCGATGAGTAGATAATCCAAATTTCCCCAATCTACTTCGCTTAAAAATTGCCTAATCATGCCATTTTTCTTGGGACCTCTCCAAATTACAGCATCGTCTGGAGATCCCAACAAAAATCCTATTGACATCACAGATAAATTGTCTTCAACAAACTAAAAATATGTATATGTATGTCATTTAAACATAATTTGATATAATTGCAATTCTCTTACTACTGGGGACCATCCAGAGCCAGACTGATGAACCTGTTCATCCTGAACACCCAACACTCTTGGCTGTGAAGGACCACAAATGTCTATATCTAAAACTGCTACCTGTAAATATTTATTTTATATTTTATTATTTAATGTCATATTGCAAAAATTATTAATAACTAATATCAACAGATTCTTATATTCAATAACCTTTCTTTACCTGATTTCCCTAGCAATAGTATTCATTGATTTATTTCAAATTCAGGTCAAATTCAACAAAATGGATTTCAACTGGGTCATTGTGCCTGGTACAACTGAATACAGCTCATATAAATGTGTACATATCCTACCTTAACTCCTGAATTATGTAAAATAAAGATATTCATAATAAAACATAGTTTTAAAACAAAAAGAATTATATCAGTTCCACTAAAGGACTAAGCTAACAACACAAAATGATATTTGGTCAAGAAAAAGAAAGAAGAAGTCGATATAATCGAGTAAGTTGTTTAGAATGATTAGATTTTGTAGTTGAAAATAAACTAATCCATTTTTTTTTAACAATCCACTAAAAACAAAAGTAATTTAACAATACATCTGACTTACATTTTTCTCGCTATCGACATTAGCAATAGATCTACTCAATAAAGCAGTCACGGTGCTTTTTCCTACTCCACCTTTACCAGACAGTATCAAAATTTTATTTTCAACTTGTGACAATCTATCTTTAACTAACTGAATACCCGGATCTGGTTGATTTGCTTCTCCACTAGAACAAACCGTTTGATTTGGACAACCCGCACAAGCTGAGGCTTTCCCCGCATTTTCACTTTCTACTCCAGGACAATCTGAAAGAGAATACATTAAATAAATACATTTTTAGATTGGTTGCTTTCATTACGCTCTGGAACTTCAGTAGGCATGATTTAATTGTTATGTTGTTGGGTAATTGATTCTTAGTTACAATTTGCAATTATTAATTAAAAAAACTTAAACTTTGCACTGTAAAATTATTACATTTTTGGTTATGTTTTAGTCTGTCAAAATGCTGACAAGAGGGAACTGACAGTTTAGATATGCATTGCGTTCGGTCTGCCAAGTTCCTTTAACACTTTTAACTCCAAACGACCCTTTTAGCTTTCGGTCATTGCGTTCGGTCTGCCAAGTTCCTTTAACTCCAAACGACCCTTTTAGCGATCGGTTTAGTCCAATGAACTGGAGTGGGGTAGAAAGCTAATGTGCATATTTTATCAATTGAACAAGATGCGACTCTATGGGCGCAGCCATTTTTATTTCTCATCTCACTCGGGAGTATTTATAATAACCATTTTCTGTTTCACATTGTTATTGTTCAATCCACAGGCTGGTGGATCAGACAATAAAGTGAAATAGAAAATGGTCGTTATAAATACTCCCGAGTGAGATGCAAAATAACCTGTCTTCGCCCATAGAGTCGCATCTCAAGCCTATTGACAAGCATTCTACCCCACTCCAGTTCATTGGTTTAGTCCAATGAACTGGAGTGGGGTAGAATGCTTGTCAATAAGCTTCACATGCGACTCTATGGACAAAGACAGGTTATTTTTCATCTCACTCGGGAGTATTTATAACAACCATTTTCTATTTCACTTTGTTATTGTCTGATCCACCAGCATGTGGATTGAACAATAACAAAGTGAAACAGAAAATGGTTATTATAAATACTCCTGAGTGAGATGAGAAATAAAAATGGCTGCGCCCATAGAGTCACATATTGTTCTATTGATACAATATGCACATTGGCTTTCTACCCCACTCCAGTTCATTGGTTTAGTCCGATTAGTGACAGTTTAACACGCTTAAATGCCATTTAAAAGCACCCTAAAATTTGTCCCGCTCCAGCCCCTGACTATCCGAACTCGCCTAGTGTTGCCATATCGTAACCTATCAAATGCCTGTCATTACCTACGGGCAACCATTTTGTTAGGAATGGCCAATATTGAAAAAAGTAGTGTTATAAACTATTTGGTAGGCCATCAATTTATCAATAAAAACAAAACTAACCTCAGTAACTTTATGCCTTTCTGCGGCAAATCAATTACTATAACTACAAAAAGATTATCTTTCGTTCGCTGTTGGTGCAGTGTCCACCAGTATTATTACCACAATTTAATATATTTTGGTTATTACACCAGTTATACCATCTTTCCCGTAGTTTACTTCCCTCCTTAATCCTTATACACATCAGATATACATGTCGAGTGAACCACAGAACAATTACTTTGAGTGAACTGAACTCACATACTTTTTCTTTTACTATACGGAGAATGGTCGCACTGCGCAGCTTCTGAGTGCCTTTTACACATACTTTTGCCGCGTTTGAGAATCCACATCGGATGCATTTTTTACATCTCGAGCGTTTTTTTATCCACATTGGACACATCTGTCCCATTACATTTGCGTATACTGAATCACGTGATCAAAGATTTTTTACATCTCAGATGCATCCGATGTGGATTCTCAAACGCAGCATTTGATTTTCTTTTACTATACGGAGAATGGTCGCACTGCGCAGCTTTCTGAGTGCCTTTTAAAAGGAGATAGAAAACTCCGCCATTTTGAACCCTTATTACGTGTTGCCAACATCTTGGCGCAATTTTTTAAAAGGTGCGTTTTAATCATCCGCTTCTGCTTCGGAGTTGTCGGTTTTCTTGTTTTAATCTGACAGGTTAAAACGACTAAACCGACAATTCCGGAAGCAGAAGCGGATGATTAAAACGCACCTGATTTTTTGCTTGCTGCTGTCAGTGAATATTATTTTTGAAGTCACAGGTTATTGCTAAAGAATCAGTTAGCTCACTCGGACCAGTTGAAAGTTCCAAAATAACATCCACTCCAGGGATACAAATTCAGGATACGCAGAAGACTGCTGTTTTATTATAGGCGGTTGTCATATATTGTATTATCCGAGTTGCACAGTGTATAAACTGAAACATTGAGATCAAAAGTGCCGACGCAGAGTGAGCGATCTGATTCTTTAGCTGTAAACTGTGTCACAGGGTTCAAAATGGCCGCGCCCTATGTTGGGCGTGTCGGACCTCTCTCTTGCCTCGTATAGTAATCAAAGTATGTGGCCTTTTAGAAGGAGATAGAAAACTCCGCCATTTTGAACCCTTATTACGTGTTGCCTACATCTTGGCGCAATATTTTTAATAGGTGCGTTTTAATCATCCGCTTCTGCTTCGGAAACAACTATTTTCTGTCGAACGCAACCATTTGCGGTGATGCTCAAATGAAGAACATTCTACAAACATGTTTTCTTATTCATTTGCCCATTCCCATTTTAAATTACGTTTATGGAATATAGAATACTTACTTGTGAAACGTCAACCAGGATCCTTTTAAGAATTTATTATTGCAAACTATGCAAGCTTTCGGCATGATTAGCACTTATTTTATAATAAAAATACACTTAGGACCATTTGTACTTTGTACCGCTAGTATTTAAGAAATAAGCGAAGCTTAAAATGACATTGTCAATGGAAAAGTGTCATTTTAAGCTTGGCTTATTTCTTAACGACCAGTGGTGCAAATAGACCTTAAAGAGTTTATTAAAAGAGACATCTCGTCCAAATTGTCTTTGGAAGCCACAAATAACGATCTTTTTAAAAACGAAAACAAGACGTCAAATGAAATTACATTTATCACAAATACGCGCGGTATTTAAATTCGCCAATCATAAATCGTCGTGTTCCTATCTCGCCAAACATAAAGCGTCGTGTACCTAACACCGAAGCGGTTACCCCCCTCAGTAGATAACAAACCCATTTGAGTAACACCTCTAGTCTTATATGCTCTACGGTTGTCACCCACTGTAAAAAATGAACAAATTTAATGCTCACAATATCTCACAGACAAGACAATTCCAAATTAATAAAAATCAAACAATCATTGACAACACAACAAGTCAATATTTTAAAACTGATAAATGAACTTAAAATTTAAAAAAAAAATAAATATAATCCGGTTTTATAAAAATCATTAAGAACCGATTCTACCGTTGTGTTAAACGAAGTTTAAAATGACATTATTACATTAACAATGTCATTTTAATCTCCGTTTAACACAACGGTGGAATCGGCCCTTAATTAATAATTAAAGAGTATGATTACATATTGGTAGACACAATTTTCGTCTTTCCTTTGCTGCAAAGGTGTTTAAATCCGCGTTTGAGAATCCACATCGGATGCATTTTTTACATCTCGAGCGTTTTTTTATCCACATCGGACACATATGTCCCATTACATTTACGTATACTGAATCACGTGATCAAAGATTTACTACATCTCAGATGCATCCGATGTAGATTCTCAAACGCGGCAATAATATTTGATCATTTTTGTTTTGTGTCAAATTTCAAATTTGACAAAAAAATTTATATACTTCTAATTTTATGTTTACAGCAAGTACAGCTTTACGATTTAGATATGCCGGAGCAAAAGGACTCAATTTTATATTCGGTATAAACGATAAAAAAAAATCGAAATCAGCAATAAACTAATTTTTATCGCTTGTTTTTATAGCAACTCCAGCCATGGAGTACTGTAGGCGCCACGCCTTGCATGGAGCAAGTCGCCGGGCCTCCCATGCCCCATAGGATAGGAACGTATTACAAGACACCACGACCTCATCCGTGGAGACCGACACTAGGATATGAGATTGTAGAACCGATGCCTTTGTAAGATGAACAGGATTTTTTCCTTTAAAGTGGGTTCTACTAGCAATGGAAACGTGGAACATTCTGTTAATATATAGCGAGTATAAACGAGTAGTTTGCTTTGCTAGAGAACTCAGATTTCCTCAATCGTTTTTGATATTGTTTCTTTAAACGGAATATTTTTATTTTTAGGCCTAAACAACACACCACCAACGCTCTGATCGATCCCTGTTACACGCCAATGGGCATGGCGACGGAACCTTTGAGGTTCCCCAATATGGTGACTGGATTTGAGCGAAACCCAGCCCACGCAGCTCGAGCAGCATTATATACCAGATACACACCTTTGGAATGGACTCAGAGCAATCTGAAGCTATACAACGAAGCAGACACCACGAAAAATTACTCTGAAAGATTAAGGGGCGATTCCATAAGAGCTATGAGGTTTGTAAATGGTTAACTATTTTTCCTTTGAACGAATTATTTGTGTTCTTAGAGAAACAGATGAAAAAACCGCGCAGGGTCAAAGAGAATCTGGTAGAAGGTTGGGCGAACGAATAACGGACACCACTTTTTGGAGGAACGAAGTGCGAACCGAGCTAGAACGTCTTATAGCCGAAACGGATCTGCTGATGGGTCAAAAACGAGCTCTCAAAAAGGCCATCGACGATATAGAAGGTCCGTTACACATTGCACAAGAGTGTTTGTACCACAGAGAAAAGAGAGAAGGTAAATATCATTTTGCCACAATTCTAGTACTTCCGGGAGAGGATATTAAAACTTGCATTTGTTAACTCTAGGTATCGAACTGGTGCACGATCAAGCCGAGCAGTCTCTGCTGATAGAAATCGAACTGTACAGGAACAGACAAGAGCAACTGAAATGCCTCTTCAATAAAGTCTGTGATCAACTGCGTAACAACAGAGCGGCTCAACACCAATTAGAAATCGACGTAAATAGCAAAGATGCCGCACTGGGTATCGACAATATGTGCCATCAGCTCAACAACTACTCCAAAGGGATTAACTACTATGGAGGAATTGAGAAATTCGATCCTACGTAGGTATCTAAGCGGATTTTTGTTACGGACAGATTTTGGGACAATAAAGCATTGAAAGGGCACCTAAAAGTTTCCTGATATTCTTTGTTAACTATATATGTTTCAGCACGAGCAACACCGTAACCTGGGCGGAAAACAGCAACAGGATAGTCAATAGATCCCAATCGGAACGAGCGAAATCGGCCCAAATGCGATCCGACTCTTCGACGCTCATTAATTCATCGTCGCAGGAAATATGGGACGCTTGGAGCAACACCAACAACGCTCTTGCTCGCAAAGCAGCTGAAACCCTGGATAACAAGAGCAAAGTGCAGTTTAAACTACACCAGGTACCTATATCTAAATAGACAAGTTAAAAGTAATTTTAAAAAACCGACTTCAAAATCGTGCAGATGCCATCACCACATCTTGACTAAATTTATAAGGGACCACCCCTGAGGTACACCTTTACTAACAAAAAATAATTATAGAAATCGGACAAGGTGGTAAAGAATTATCGCTAAACATACATAAAAAATTAAGAGTTTGAGGATTTTCTAATGGACCAAATTATTAGATTTTGATCACATTGATATGGGACCACCCCTGAAGTACCCCCTTTCTAACAATGAAATCGGACACTGTTAAAGAATTATCACTGAACATACATAAAAAAAATATTACCACGAATTGAGAACTTTCTCCTTTTTTGAAGTCGATTAAAAAGTAATATGTTCCTCAATTTGTTTTACGTTAATATGTGTCGTTTGACCTATATTCGTAGTTTTTCATGATATATCGATTGATAATAAAGTACTTGTTGCAGTTTGACCGATATACAAGCATCTATCGGTGTCCTCGCGCCATATACAAGATATGACCGACATTCGGCCCTTGACTAATTCATGAATTGTAGAAATAATAAAGTTTGAAATACCTGTGCGATCCATAGGCTTGAGATATGTAGGACTTGGATGAAAAGATTACCTTCTGATTGAAAACTTTATTTTGAGCACTAAAGGAATGATTTACTTAAGCATTTCTCTACGAAATTTGTTACTTTAAGCCATGTTAGTATAGAGAAAAAGCGGGAGAGAAGACGCTAAGCGCGCTTGAGAGTCACGCTTGTGACGTTGACCAATGAGAAGTGTATAACGCCTGTGGCGCTAACCAATGAGAAGTAGATGACGCATGTGACGTAGTTATTTGTCGGAGACTTTTCTTATCGGCCAAGACAGTGCCGATTACAGAGACGTCTCCAGGAGTAGTAAAAAATCGAGAATGAAAGCTTAATATAATATATATTGAATGCAATATTGAGTGTAACGATAAATGTAATCCAACAGTACTAATGTAATATTTTAGGTTCAACAAGAAATATTCGATTTGGAAAAGTATATAGAGCTATTGAAGAAGGCGATTAGAGATAAGAGTCCGCCGATGAAAGTGGCGCATACGAGATTGGAAGCTAGAACTCACCGAAAGGAAATCGAATTGTGTCGAGATGTTGCGCAGGACAGGTAAGGCTTGAATGTTTCTTAATTTGTCGTTATTTTTCTATTTTAAAGAAATTTATTTGATTAAAAGGACGTAGCTACGACCAGCAGGAATAATACTACCTAATATTGGCGTGAGATTAATATAATGTTTGAATAAAACGTAATAAATTAATGGTAAATAAAAGTGGGTGGCTCAGTGATAGAGTAGTCTCTGCCTGCGAATCCAAGGGTCCCAGGTTCGAATCCCACCGTTGGCCGGATTTTTTTCATTTAATTAAATTATTTAAAATTAATTCTGATGCCTTGGTAAAATTCCCCACTCGACCATTCACTGTTGGGTTCTAATTAACAGTGCTATTCCTAAAGTGGCGCTGGGAAGTAGTCACAAAGCCTACACAGAACACGAGGCGAATTAACCTTAGCAGTTGAAGCCGATGACACAAAAACGTGAAATAATTAGAATAATAAAAAAGTATGTGAAATTTAAATTCTAATGGTTCATCTGATTGCAAAAAGTGGCATGCCGTGTTTTTTGCTTGCTATTTGTAGTAAGGTATAGGGGAGAGGGGTGAATAACATGTCTCGGTGGTAGGAGCTGTCGTATAACTTCTCAAATTCTAAGTAAAGTTGCCTATGGATGGATTTTTTCGATTTTTTGCTGGCAATGAAATAATATGCTTCTAAAAAACCCTTTACAAGCATTTTCTGTCGTCCGGTTTTGCTACTTTCGGTGTAGGAGTTTCGGATATTTGTTTTTCAACGAAATTTAGGAAATAGTTTAAACACTTGTTTCTGAATCTAAGATGGTACCCAGCAAACATTTTGGTTTAATTTGACGTCGAAACTACCTAAAATATGTATAATAAATTTGGTCGCAAAATTAGATTTAACCATATTTAAGGAAAATTTACGTTATCTCGACGTGGATTCGACATAAGTGGAGAATAAGACGACGTCGAAATTTGGTTTTATTGACCAAAATAGGTAAAATTACTCTTAAATCCACATTGTAGTAGCCTACTACGTTTGGTTAGTAATACTTCTCTAGGGAAATTTTACGTCAGTATAACGTCAATTCGACGATGATTTAACCAGCTAAGCTTTAAGCGAAAAATACAAGCTGGATGACCTTATTTTTAAGAAATTTCACAAAAAATGGACCCGATTGTATAAAAATGCTTGGTATTCGAACCTGATGCCCTCTCGTCACATTTTTCAAGCTTTTCTATTTGGTAAATCTGGCAACTCTAGCAATAAATAATATTTATTATTATTTTATTATTAATAAACATCAGTAAGCGGTAAAACCGATGTGACTTATCTAGCATTCAAAAGTCACGTTTATTAACTACTTATAACATTAAGATATAACAGAGCAGTTATCACAATATCACAGTTTATCACAAAAGATCAATTGGTATAGTGTACCATCATGTTTGAAGCATTTTTCAATTCTTTATCTAGACCAGGTGTGCACAACATACGGCCCGCCAATGTCGTTTTGGCGACCCGCCGGCCGTTGACCAGTTTGGCCCGCCTACGTCAAATTATACATTTTTCAGTAACAAACTTGCATTTAGGCTGACGACTTTTTTTTTTAGAAAACTCCAGCAAGATGGGTTATACATTATAAGCTGACTTTTTTTTTCAGAAGCTCGGCCAGCAGGAGTTTGTTTATAAATGAAAGGAGTTGACCTTTTTTTTTTAGAAATGTGAATCGACTATTGTAGGCTCAGGCCTCTCTTGGCGGCCCTCGTACAGTTAAGGTTTTTCAAATCTGGCCCTTTGAAAATCTGAGTTTTGCTGGCCTGATTTTTGAACTGGTTAACTGAACTCGATACGATAGTGTCCTTTTGCAAGTTGTTTCAAGTATATAACACTTGGTTGCTTAAATTTTTTTCTTTGGACCTTGTTACATTTTTCTTATTCCAGTTTTTTGTGTTCTATTTTGATAAACATGAAAAATATTTTTGCAAGAGTCATTCCCACTAGTCCATTTGAACGATTCAATCAGGTCATCTCTACATCTATGTTTTTTATGTGTTTGGAGTTGCAGAATGGAAAGTCTTTCCAAATAGTTACAGTCCTGGAGCTCTGACGGGATTCTAGTTACCTTCCTTTGGACTTTTTCCAACATTTCCATATTTTTAACAAAATATGGGTTCCAAACTGGCATTGCAAATTCTATTTTGGGTCTTATATAGGTTTTGTATAGTTTGGAGATCATTTCCTTTGAATGGTCTTTGAATGCAATTCTGATTAGATAAATCATTGTGTTTGCCTTTTTTGTAATTTTAGAAATATGAGTTTTTCTTTTTAAATCTGAAGATATAAAAGCGCCAAAATACCTTTTTGAACTCTAACTGTTAGCAGACTTTCACCATTGAGGTAATATACGTTTTCTGGATTATTTGGGCCTATGTGTAGTATTGTACATTTATTATGATTTAGAGGGAGTAACCATTTATGAAACCAGCTGCTAATTGTATCAAAATATCTCGTTGTAAGACTTCTCGGCTTTTAAGATGGTTGCAATATTTTGCATCATCTGCAAAATATTCTGAAGGCTAGTTTGTCACTGGCTAAGGACATAGAGTGTAGAGGATGAATAACAGTGATCCCAGCCCAGAATCCTATGGTACTCCACTGATAACAGGATGATTTTTTAATAGTTGAGCATTAACTCTAACACAGAACTGGCTATTCATTAAAAAATTCTTAATCCATTTAAGTAAATTTCCCCTGACTCCGAGGTGTTCCAATTTTAAAAGTAAGCTCCTATGTGGTACTTTATCGAAGGCTTTAGCATAGTCCAGATATGACATTTATTGTTTCACCATTGTCCAAGCTGTCCACTAATTCAGAGATAAGAGTAAGTTAATTACTACTGATTGTTTTGATAGAAAACCATGTTGTGGTAGAGAAATTAATCTATTATTCCAGACAAAAAATCAGTGATTTCTTTGGTTATTATTTTCTCCATCACTTTGCAGATATTGCTCGTTATATTTACTGGTCCAATTTTCAGGATCTTGTTTGCTTTCTTTCTTAAACAGTGGTAGTCACAATTGCATGCATCCAGGTGTTCGGTACTACTCCAGTGGCCATTGAATGATTCATTACATCTGTCAAAGATACTTTTAGCGATTTAACACATTTTTGTAAGAATATAGCAGGTATTTAATGACTTCCAGGATTTAAATCAGTTTTCAGACAGTGGATAGCTTCACTAACTTTTTCAGGAGTAAAAAACACAGTTACTAAATCTGAAGTTCACCTTGGGGTTGTTAGGGATTTGGTTGCAGGCACTCTTGAAATGATTATCAAACCTTTCAGCTATCTCTTAGGGATCAGTGATTAATATTTTAGAATCTACATCTTTTAGGTTAACACTAGTGTTAAAAGATCTTTTAATATATCTATAAAAAATAATTTGTCACCAGCTGTAACTAAGCTGTTTTTCGTATGTTCTGGCTTCACATATAAAAGATTTCAGACGATTATTTTGGGTAATTTCTGTAATCACAATCATCCTTATTACCAGTATATTTATCCCATAAGCGCCTTTTTTCTCCAATTTCTTTAAATAGTTGTTTATTAAGCCATGGTTTTATCAAATTTTTCTTTCTCTTCTTCAGTGGCATACATTGATTTATGGTGTCACAAGTTATTTTAAAGAATGCATCATAATTTGCACATAAACCTGAATTGTTAATTGAAGTATGGAATTCTTGATTTGATAAGTGATCATTTATTGCATTATAGTTAGCTTTCCAGAAATTCCTATTTTTTTATTTACCTATAAGTATGTTTTTCCAAGAGTAATATTGATTTGAGCTATTGCCATAATACCTAATGGTCGTTCTGCCTTAATAGATATGATAATTTCTTATCACTAGTTAGTATTAAGTCCAGTAGCGATTTTAGATTACATATCTTCGTTGGAAAGGTAACTAGTTTGTAGGCATCTAGGAAATCTAAAAGGTTTTTGATCCTGCGGAATTAGTGTTAAAAGGAAAAATATTTTGAGTTTTTAAGTTCAACAGTATTCAGAATATTTACAGATATTAATGAAACACCCTGTATACAGTGTATCCCATTTTATATATAAAAAATTCTGGAACACTTAGAAGTCAATAAGAGTCACTTTATGGTTAGCAATTCCAATTGCAATATAAATTGCCGCAGTTCGTAATGCACGCCTGTGTACTAATTTTATATCAGTTGTGATTTTTCTTGCAATTGCAGAAAACAGCGATAGAGAAAATCTTCATTATAAATATTTTTATTTTCCTTGTATAACAAATGTATGCTTGATTATAGAAAGTAAATTTCGAGCGAGAATTGACATCATTATTCTCTTATTTCTCTCATGTGCAAATATAATTAAGGGTTTCACAGGTTAACATATTGCATATCATCATCTCATTACTTTACATCATGATATCAACATTATTTCAGATTGGTGTATGAGGTGAAGGATCTTCAAGATAGCGTAGAAATTTTGCACAGGAAGCTGCAAGAAGCCGAGGCACAACATCAACAACTACTCAAGACCCGTACCAACCTAGAAACTGATTTACATCACAAGGTTGGCGCCCTCTTCATCGACAGGGAAAAATGCTTGGGCTTAAGAAGGTCATTCCCAATCACAGCCACAATCAAATATTAACACCTTCATCTCTTAGAAATGTTAGTCTATCTAAATTTCGTAAAAAAGAATGTGCAATAAAAGTGTTAACAATAATATATTTTTATTTTCAACCTATTTAATTACTTTACAAATGTCGGAAGGGGTAATTGCAAGCCTTCTTTGGCTTCAAAAAATGTGTATGACAATGTTATTTCGTTTACATATTCCATGTAGGGATCTTCTGTTATTTCGGGGTCAATATAAAAGAATACAGGCATGTCTACCTAAAAGAATATGAAATTTAACTTACTCTGCTGGTTTATAAAATCCCTATGTAGTAAAATCTCCACTTACATGTTCATGTGGATTAAGCATCTGCTCTTCAAAACAAAAACACTGTATTTTATTAAAATACTGCCCAGCTTCGAATGGAACAACATTATATGTACTTATACCCACAACAGGAACATCTGTAGGATTTTTTGCAGTGTAAAAAGCTAGTGCAGTTTCACCTGGAAACACCTACCAAAAGTTTTTTACATTAAATTACTCACCTTCTATTTATAAAATATTTTAAGCTTACTGTGATTTCTGTTTGTTGTGGTTTAAAGTTCCATCTCATGCTAGCCGCGGTATCGGCGTTGAATTTAATCTTAATGGGTTTGCTTTTAACAGCAGACATGGTCCCTACCTTTTCTGCGTCATGTCCAGTTGCTACAGTCCCACCGTAACTGTAGGCTTGGCAAAATAGTCTATAAAGTGGCACTGCTGCATAGCTTAGTCCTACTGTTACGACACCAGCTGCAGTCACGTAATATAAAGTTGAACGTATACTTCTTTTTCTAGCTTCATTATTTGAACTGTTAGAGAAATTCAGTCTTTTTAATGAGCTAGTTTGAATGTTATTTCTAATGGTTGATAAGACATGTTTTGCACTTATAGTACTCACTAAATTTGTTATTAAACTCATTTTATAACTTAAAATTCACTTATAAACACCGAAAATCATTTTTTACGATTTATTTTGGATTACATGGTTAATTCCGTTGAGGTTAAGTTCATTGAACTCTATTAATTGAGTTATTGGTTTTATACACTGTAGGTCGGTAGTTTCATCTAGTAAGAGACCAGTAGAACTATTGTAGAACATTATACAAGTCACAAAATAACTTTTTTTTTAGGTTATAATCTCTGGATTTTTAGGTTATATTTTTATAAATTATAGAGATGTTAAGTAGATTGAGAATTAATTTAACGAGGTTGATTTTAACTAGATTTCAGTCTACAAGCCAGCAAAGGATTGTAGTTACTGATGATGGAAACACAATAGTAGCGTGGCACCCAAAAGAAGACTTCCCATATGAATGTACAAGACCGCTACCAGATGAACAAACCATTGAAACTGATAGCGTTTTAAAGACTACTGTGACACCTGAATTGTTAAGTATATTCAATAAGAAAACACCCGAACAATCCAGGCAAGAGCTTATGAATATCACTCACACGACAAAGCATAGATGGTTTCCAAGAGCGAGGGATAAACGTGCGAAGAAGACACCCATGGATAGAGAATATTTGTAGTTAAATGTAGACTTGAACAGTAATTTTTGTTTTATATTTATTAAAGGTATTTAATAGTATTATGCATTTTGCTTTTATCATAAAAGGTTTTTTTTTTAAATCTAAATCGAATATTTTAATAAAGCCTTTTAAAAATGTGTACAAATGACATTAATTTCAGATTTTAAACATCTAAAGTATTTTCGCACAGATTTTCCATGTAGATTAGTATTAATTTGAATATTTTTACATCCTAGAAAGGGTGGTTCCCAACTAGTGCATTGAACTCTAGCTCATATACTAATTAACTTTTTGAAAAAAATCTTCACAGGAAGGCGTATGTCAATAAAGGTTACAATATAAAATCATTCATACAGAGTGTCCCAAAAAGTACCAATTTTTTTAATGAAACTATTTTTAACAGACTTCAAAAAAGAGGGAGGTTCTCAAATCCTCTGAACTTTTTTTTTACGTATGATCAGTGATAATTCTTTAACATCGTATCTGACTTCAGTGATTCTTTTTTTTGTTAAAAAGGTGGTACTTCAGGGAGGGATGGTTGCATATACATTTGGTCAAAATCTAATAATTGGGTCTGTGAGAAACTCCCCACTCTTCATTTTTTTATGCATGTTCAGCGATGATAATTCTTTAACACAGTGTCCAATTTCAATGATTCTTTTTTTGTTAGAAAGAGGGTACTTCAGGCTTCAAAATCTAATAATTGGGTCCAAGAGAAAATCCTCAAACTCTTCATTTTTGATGTATGTTTATTAATATTATTCTTTACCACCTTATCTGATTTTTACGATTGATAGTAAGGGGTTACCTCAGGGGTGGTCCCATATAAGTTTGGTCAAGATGTAGTGATGGCACCTGCACGATTTTGAAGTTGGTTTTTTTAAATTACTTTTAATACTTGTTAAATTTTGCAACAAAATCAAGGGCAACTTTGATAAGGGTTTCCTATACATAGGTTTAACCATTTTTGGAATTTTGAGTATTTTCTATAAACCAGACTAATAATAAAATAACAAAAACTCTAATAATGAATCAAATTATAACTTACAATTGTTCTCAAGACAAAAACAATTTTAAGTAACATAATAATACTTGGTTTTCTCTTTATCATTTACATGATTTAGCATATCATGATGGTGGGTGAGGTTTTCCTCACCTGTAAGTCAAATGGCACCATCAATCATCTTTAAGTCGCCCCGGAGCGCCACGGCAAATAATAATAATAGCCGTCCCTTCCCCTACACAAGTCGTTCAGTCGACTTATTATATTATAAAAAATACATGTCTAGGTATAAAATAAAAATATAAAAGGTGAATATAAAATTTAAAATTCAGTACATTACAAAATTAAAATTCACTGAAGTGCAGCGACCTAGTTACCAACCCCCAACACTATCGAACAAACAGGTCAATCTTAAAACCAAACATTAGTTTGTCAGTTCTATTTCACAAACATATTACATTTTCGAAAAATCCTCAAAAAACGGTAAAACCTAGGTATAGAAAACTCTTGATTTTGTTACAATATTAAAAAAATAACTTTTGATACTTAGCACTGTTTGGAACATAAATGAAAATAATTTTACATTGTGACCTTTATCGACATATACCTTTCAAAAAAGTAGGTAATGCATTTGAGTGGTATAGTCGGGAACCACCCTGTATAAATAAAGCCATTATGTATATATTTTTATTTTTCATATTTTATAAATAAAAAAAAATATAAAATTACATATCTTCTTGGCTCCACTGCATAGCCTCTTCCTGCATCGCTTTTCTAGAATTCTGAGCCTCTACCCATTTTTGCTCATACCCATTGGATCTATCTACGCCGTCCCACCTGTACCCTGGTCGAACAGCAAACCTATTTGGCATGAAGTCACCCATATACGTTGGCTTTTCTGCAAAATAAAATCACTTATAAAATTTCTTGCGAGTAATTATTTTAATTGAAGTTCCTTACCAGGAATACCTTGCTCTACCGTGACTTTTTTCTTCTTCTTTCGAATGTAAGCCAACATTGGATCCCCTTCTCTTTCTTGATCCTTCAAGTACTTCTCCAAATCCTCATCATCCACGTACCTAGCTAAAGGTTTGTTCATTTCTTTGAGTTGATCTGCCATTCTTTCACTCTTGTCTTGAACCTGCTTCACACCCTTACCCCATCTACAGTACTTTTCTTTCAATTCTTTCTCTCTTTTCTCCTTTTCTGGATCCGGTTCTTCTTCTGGCTTCCTCTTCCTTCTAACAGTCGCTGCGGTTGCTCCAGAGACATCAGTAGACATCGATTTAAACATTTCTGCTTCCTCATTTTGTATACGAATAATATCAGCTACGAGGTTTTTGGCGTTCTGCAAACCTGCTTTCTTCCCGCTCATTGTCGTGTCTGGTTTTTCCACTTTGCCAGAAGAAGAGTTTGATTCTTCTTCTCCCCATCTGGATTTTTTGTTTTTCTTTATAGTAGAACGTTCTTTTCCTTGCTTTCTAGTGGGAGATGGACTGGCATTTCTCTTCTTCTTTGGAGGAGAATAGTCATCCTCTTGTACCCTCTTTAAAGGTTGATCAATTTCCCTTTTCCTGGGAGGAGATTGATCTTCTCCCTTGTTCCTGTTTTTCCTGGGGGAACAATAATCACCAACCTCCTTTTCTCTTAATGATAGATTTTTCCTTTTTCTAGGAGGAGATTGATCATCTTCTCTTCTTCTGGAAGGGGATTCAGGACTATCCTTTCGTCTAGGAGGAGACTGATCATTTTTATATCTCCTGGGAGGAGATTGATCATCTCCCCTTTTTCTTGGAGGAGATTGGTCATTATCTCTTCTACTGGGAGAATAATGATCTCTTCCCTTTCTTTTGGGGAGAGATGAATCATTATCCTGCTTCCTGGGAGGAGACGAATCATTATCCCGCTTCCTGGGAGGATATTGGTCATCACCTCTTCTTCTGGGAGGGGATTGATCTCTTCCCTTCTGTCTGGGAGGAGATGAATCATTTTCCCCTATCCTGGAATCATGTCCACCTTTTCTAGAAGGGGATCGATCACTTCCCTTTCTTTTAGGAGATGATTGATCATTGTTATTGTGCTTCCTGGGGGGAGAATAGTCATATTTCTGTTTCCTTCTTGGTGAGTGATCAGTATCTTTCTCATGGGGAGAATTATCGTTACGTTTCACAGGAGAATATTCTTGCCCTTTCTTTCTAGATGGAGAATAATCCTTTCTTTTATCTATGAACCTTTCTTTCCTTCTATCCAAACTTTGTTCTTTATTTTTATTTATATTTAGTTGTATACTACCTATTTTGAAGTTCTGAAAAGTTGAAGTGCTGGTTGCTTGACCAATTGGTTGCCATAAGCTGTTTTTTTCTTCGTCAAGTCTTAGGGATGGTGGTCGCTCGTCTATGATTGCTACTATTTGAGGAGCATCTTCGTTCGCAGCATCAAGATCATCTTGGATCTCTCGAGACAATGCTGTATCAGCATCGTCGTCTATTATTTTTAATCTAAAAAGTAAATTCATTAGAATGTATTTGTCGTTTGTATCAAGATAAATTGAGCAACACAACTTATTTGTAATGGCACTAAAACTGAAATCTAATAGATACGTTATGAAGCTGATTCTAACAGTATTTAAAGAATGGTACTGCTACAAACATAAATAGGCCACAAATATTAAAAATACCCTTTGGAAACTGTTTTTTCAGCTTTCTTCTTTTTCTTTTTTTCTCCGGATCCTTTACCAATTTTCAAATATTTCTTTAAGTAATCTTTTTGATTTATAGCACTCATTATTCTTAAAATAAAATAACTATCAGTTAATTATACTTGAGAAAATAAATATTTACAAAATAAAAACTGATTCTATTACCAACTTCACACGTCACTGTCTCTTCTGTTATCGATCGTTCATTGTTGACATGTCATTGTTGTTGACAGAATCGTAAAATTGTAACTGTATAAACTATAAATATAAGGCCAATCATTGAGTTTATTAGCCTGGCTTATTTATTATAACAGGCCTACGTCATCTAAAAAACGAAGAAAGCTATAACCGAAAAATTAGAATATAAAAAAATGATTCCCTACGAAATATTATTTTTATTTAGAGTAATGCCTAAGGTAATACTTTCGTTTTGCACTCATTCTTTAAAATATTTTTTTTTTCTTATATCTACCAATTAAATGTCTGAAATTACTTTGTAGCCAGAGTTAACTTCTGCACTGAAGAGAGCCGCAAATACAATTTTTCAAAAAGGGGGTATAATTAGAAAGCTTGAACATTTAGGTACAAGGGACATGCCTTACAAAATAAGCGTTCATGGTGTACCCTATAGGAGTGCAAGGTAATTCTTTAAATTTCTATTAACACCCAGCTAATTGTTTTTTTTTTCAGTTACTTCTTGTATGAATGTAACATCCCTCCAGCCAAGATAGAGGATATCCTTGATGAATACAATAGAGACGTAGATGTAATCCGAAGGAGAATATTCAAGAAAAATGTGCCAGAAACGTTTGAATGTACATTACATGAAGAATGCCTTCCTCCACCTTACCGAAAAGATGTGCAAGAACTGATTCAACAAGCCAGGAGGTCTGACAAACCCAAATTTAAATATAACACAGGATTGGATTATTATCCATTCCAAAAGTAGATTATAGTGTTTAGTTTTAGACATTGTAGATAGTTAATAAAATTTGTATAAAATATCCTTATTGGCATTTTTAAGGTAAAAATGTATTCCTAGATAATCTACATATTTTTAAATTTGACAAAACCATTTTTGGCATCAAGGAGTGGGTATGTAGGATATATAGATTTTCTAGAAATTGATTGAGGACATGCCAGGTAATTTTAGGAACGTGATATTGGAGGTTTATCTTTTTTATATTTAGCTAATTGGGTCACAAAATTCTCTAGACTTGTTCTGGTTTCCTCTGGTAATCTAGCCCTCAGTTTTACAAATAAGCAGAACAAACCTTTTTTGTCCACCAACTTAATGAAAGAAAAACAAAAATAACTTTGTAATTTGTTTATTGGTTACCTATAATAAAAAAAACGTGGAAAAACAAAGAAAGTAAAAAGGACACTTATTTTTTATTTCTTAACATAAAAAAATACGAAATAACGTATCGTTTAAAATTTTAATCTTAAATATATAGGAAAACGTCGTTATTTTTCTGTAATCAAATTGTTATAGTAAGCCGTAACTGCTACTAATTTTTTATTAATGAAATTCTGTTCGATCTCCACTTTGCCGCCGGGTCCCGCTTCTTTCGCGAGCTGTCAAAACAAAAGGCATAATATAAGTACAGTAGAAACCAAATTAAACATATAGAACAGTAAAAATAATTAAATTAATAGAACGTGTTGCACCTTCTCGTCAAAGAACCTAAATAACTCACCGCAAAAGTGTTGCAATTTCGCGGCAAGAAAGCTGCCACGTCAGGTGTGATTTTTCTAGCCATAGCAATAAGCGTGGAAAACGGTACGGGTTGTAGCATCGTTTCTAAATCGTAGACGGCTTCGCGCAGGTAGGAAGGACCGCCCCATGGTGGACTCAAAAACACCACATCAGCCTTCAGCTTGTCAGCCAATTGCAAAAAATCGCCCACTATGAATTCAATCTTGTCATACACACCATACACTTTGGCGTTGTTTTCGGCCAGTTCAATTTTCTTGGGATCGATGTCGATCGCTATCACTGAAACAATTTATTATTTATTTATTCAATTATTTACGGGTCGAAACCCTTTTACATATTAGTACAGATAGTGTTTTGTCAAAATTAAAAATATTGTGATTCTATTTACAAAAAATTTCATAAGATGATAAAGATAAATTAACAATAGGTACAAAAAATATTACATTAGTTTTTTTTTTTAAACAAATAAGTTGAACAACCGTAAATAAAAACTTTTTTATTATTAATGATTACCCACTTCTCTACTCACAATGTCTGAACATTAATTAAAATAGTACAAAATAAATAGCGAAAAGAGTATTGTAGGGGTTATATTATGATAAATAAAATGTATTATAAATAAACAACAATAGTCGTATTTTTCCAATTTTCATATTTTTCAAAACAAAAAAAAAGATAATTCATTGGGAACCAGCGTTACGAAATGGTCGAGAAATGATGTAATTGTTGTTAAAGAGTCGTGGCTTTCTCCTGGTGAGGAAAACTATTTTAATTTGCCAGATTATAATGCAATTTATGAATCAAGAAATAAAACGGAAGGTGGAGTTGGCATTCTAGTAAAAGAAGGCTACAATTTCACAGAAATTGACAGGTTAAGTGAAAAATGTTATATGCTATTTATACGATTAGAACAAAGGAACTTTGTTACCTCAAGATTTTGATAAAAACACTTTTTAAACGTTTTAGAAGAAAAGTTAGAAAATATCAATAACCATCAAAAGAAAACGTTTATTTTGGGAGACTTTAATATTAACTGTTTAGATAAAAATGATATGTACAAAGAAACCTTGATTACCTAATTGATTCACTAAATTTTATTAATTTAAATGATAGCATTCCAACTAGAGTACAGAATAATTCAAAAACTTTAATTGATTGTTTTTGTTAAATGATGGATACTCTAGTAATTTGGCTGTTATTGATTACTGTTTAAGCAATCATAGAATACAGATATTGCAAGAAAAACAATGAAATTCAATTAGCAATGAAAAATATTATAAATGTTTTAAATTAAATAGGTTAGCATGTAGAAGAGATCATCAAGGTATAATTACCACTGTGTGGCAGGATCCAAATGTCTTGTGTGATCAAATAGTAAGAACAGTCCAAAGCAATACCACCTGTAGGACCGTTTTAGAACTAAAAGTTGTCCATGGTTTAACAGTCATTTGAATAACCTAATCAAGCACAGATATACGTGTTATAACAGGCATACATTTTTTATCATTAGTGCTTTGTTTCACAGTGAATATAAGAACAGTCAAACTATCTTGAAAGCAGCTATATCTAATGCAAAAAAACAATATTATCACAATCAGCTAACAAGTGCCCTAGGTAATCCAAGAAAAATATGGTCAGTGTTAAACTTGTTAATTCATAATAAAATATCAAAGCAACAAAACAGTGAATAAACTGCAAGTAGAAGATGCCCAGACAGCACACCAAATCCTTTGGATATCTACTGAACATCCCAATATCCACTGAATGTCCAGTCCATGGTGGATATCTATTTTATATCCATGAAATGTAATTTATAGACATGCAAATGTCCATAAATAATTGTAATTATATAGCAAATTATTAAAAAATTACGCCATTGTACTCGCCATTGTGGCTAATAGTACCGTTGAGATATTTAAAATTAATTTTTTTTAAGGTGTATTCAATATCCCATGGACATCCACTATAAATATAAATATATAAGTCTAAGCGCGGACGCAAACCATCGTGGATATCTACTAGATGTAATTTTTGATTTTGCTTCCTAAGTATAGATGGCGATACCACTTTCGTATCTACTCATGCTTAACCCGCCGTAATTGAGTTTGATCGACATTGTTTCAAAAACAGACTTCATTAGAGACTGAAGTCCAGAAGTTCCATTTATTCCTGAAGATTCCTAATAAGGATGATTTTCTCCTTAATAGGCAAAATCAAAGGCAGATTGTTGGGAATATTTTACCTCTATTTTCTTTCGACGTTATTGAATAACCATTGGTTACTTATGAACCTCTACTAAAATTAATTATAAAATATTTATCTGAATTTCTATATCTTGGGATATAGACGGACATTTGGTTGGATATCCACAAAATATATTCTATGGATATATCTGGGATTTCTTGTATTGTCTGGAGATACTCATTAGATATTTTGCTGAATATCCATAGGATATCTTCTATATTCTGGATATAGACGGACATTTGGATATCCATATTAGTTCCATGGAATATTTCTGATATCCTGTGGATATATTGGATATCCACAAAATATATTCTGTGGATATCTCTGAGATTTGGTGTGTTGTCTGGGTGACTATATAGAAGTTCCTAAGAAAATTGCAGATATTCTTAACAGCCTAAGCAGAAAATATACCGGAGTCTACTTACATGAAACCTACAGTTATAAAATGTCAACAACTATATCAATGGGAGTTAACTACCCCTCAAGAAATCAAAGTAATTTCAGAGTTAAAAATCGAGAAATGCCTGTGGTGCTGATGGTATCTCTGGGGACTTGATCAAACATTTCAAAAACGAGATGTCGGTTATCTTAAGTAACCTAATAAACTTTCACTCATGCTTCTATTTCCAATGGACTAAAAGTAGCTAAAGTTTTACCATTATATTTAAAGGAGGGCTAAGAACTTCCACTGATAACTACCGACGGATATCTCTACTATTAAGTTCTATCTCCAAAGTCCTGGAAAAATATATTAATCAAAGGCTTGTTTCCTATCTTGGAAAAAAGAATTTTTGGTACAAGGGACAGTATGGTTTTCGTAGTGAAAGTAGCACAACGTCGGCAGTCACAGATATGATTACCAACATCAGACATCATGCGTATGAAGGCAATGCATGTATCATTGTTTCACTTGATTTAGAGAAGTCATTTGATACTGTTAATCACTCAGTACTGTTATCTATTTTGGAAGACTATGGAATAACATGAAATGCATTGTCTTTCTTCAGAGATTATTTCAGTGGTCGTACACAGTTTGTAAGTAATAGAAATACCTCAAGTAAAATGGCTGATCTACAATATGGTGTAGTACCCCAAGGGTAATTTCTTGGACCAACGTTATTCCTGATCTATATAAACTCCATAGCTCAGCTACCATTAGCTGGTTATTTGCAACTTTATGCTGACGACGCTTGTCTCATCTGTTTTGGAAAAGATACAGACGAAATAAAGTATATTATAGAGCAAGATCTAATTCAAATTCTTGAGTGGTTAAAGTTTCATAAATTAACTCTGAATACTGAAAAGTCAAGTTTTTTAGTGATATCAAAAAAGCCTGAATGGAACCAATTCCAAATAAATATAGACATTGAACAGTTGACTAGGACAGAATGCATTAAATATCTTGGCTTATACATAGATTCCAAGCTCAACTGGAAACATCATATATTGCTCAATTGTGTAAAAAAATTAGTCCTGCCATTGGAGTATTGGGACGTGTTGCCTGCTACCTTTCAGCTGACTTAAGGAAAACTCTGTCTCATTCACTAATTCATTCACATTTATCATATTCTCTTATTTGGAGCAAAACTTCCCAAAATAGACTAAAACCCTTACAAATTCTACAGAATAGAGCAATCAGAAAAGCTTTTCAACTTCCTTTTTGTCATCCTACTGATCTTTTGTATCATCCAAATAATATTCTATTCTCTAAATATCAGACATGCTTTTTTATTCATAACCTATCTTTGAATAATATACACTAGACTGGGCCAAAAAAATTGACAATTTTTTTTTTTTGAAAAATATATCCAGAATGTCATTCAGGATGACAAAAAAAATTTCGTGAAAATTTGAGCCCTTAATTTTTTTAAGAGATCTATCATCGCTATTTTTGATTTTTAGTCATAATTTGATGTTTTACGTTAGAACTGTCAAAACATTAAAGTGAAAAAATTCCTTTTCACATATTTTTACATAAAATTAAATTCTCTGCAAGATTTAAAGCATTCCAGCGACATGTCAAACCTGCAGGGCTAGTATATCTAAGGGAGTTGGACGCTATTTTTATTTGAAATTGTAATTGCCAAGCTTGTAAAAGCAGTTTTTCTTAAATTAAATTTTCCCGGTGTTACCATTATAAGCTAACTACTATTTCCCCACTAGCCTCAGTAACTCTTTATCAATTTACTGGGTCTATGTCGCAACCCCTCAGTTATACCAACCCTTTCCTTCGGCAGTCATTTTGTTTGGAATGCCTGATTGGCAAAACTATTAGAAATGGTAATTTTTTACATTCTTACCTTTTCGACACTTCAAAGCAAATTGAATGGTATTGCCGCCTGCCCCACAAAATGCATCAATGATTAGATCACATTCGCATCGCTCAGCTGCATGCTTGGCAACTTGTTCTGGTGTTACGGAATACCAGCTCTCTACAAAAACCATTATTTAAGAATTAGATCACTATGTTAATAATAAAAAAATACCTTCGTCCAATTTTATCCCCAAATCGAATTTACTGAACAAGCTGAATCTCCTCTGCCAATACTTCCTCAGCTTGGCGTTATTTTTGATTTCCTGCGGCAGTAGAGGCTGCTTTCTTTTCCGTCTTTTTCGTTTCGTTATTTGCACCTCTTCGGTTTTGTCTTCGACCGTCGGTGAAATCGATATTTCACCAGTCGGCACTTCCTCTTCGCATGAGCTCAGTTCGTTGTCCGAACTTTCGGAAAATATATTATGGTTGTACGTCTATAATAAATAATAAACTTCCTCATTATTATACTCTTCATGCACTAGTATGTGAAGAGTATTATAGGTTTACTTTCAAGCAACCAAAATTTTTAATATTCATCCAAATTTAAAAAAAATTGTACCAAAATCCTTCTCATAAAATTTTAAACAACTTTTAAAAATGTCCCTCCATCTGTCCGATTTTGAAAAATCTGATTAATAATGATGGGATTAAGGGGGGGATTAAAACTTATATTAACTTGAAATTTTCAGGCAAAATCAAGTTATGCAATGGGACAAAGCATATTCATTTTTTATAAAAATCCGATTAAAAATGGGGGATTAAGGGGGGTTAAATTAAAAACAAATTAATAAATCAAAAACAGACGACAATATCAACTTGAAATGTTTAGGATGAAGCCAATTGATTTTAAAAAAATCTGATAAAAAATAGGGGGGTTAAGGAAGGTAGAAATTTAAAAAAAAATCATAAATCAACGAGGAAATGACATTATTATTAAAAATCAAGCTCTACAAGGGGACACAGCTTATTGTTTTTAAAAACTCTTATTAAATGGAGGGGTTAAGGGGAGGGGGTAGTTGAAATTTAAAATAAATCATAAAACAACGAAAAATAATATCCACTTGAAATTTTAGGAAAAAATCAAAGCTCTACAATGGGATGAAGACTATTGATTTAAAAAAAAATCTGATTAAAAATAGGAGGTTAAAAGGGGGTTTGCTTGACTGTAAACAGTATCGTATAGAATGCCAAGCATATCCTCTCGAAACTCGAAACATTTTTCTACAGATATATTCATTGAAAACGAAAATACTAAAAAATTTAAATTAGCACTTTTCCTTAAATTTTTTCATTACGGTCCATTTAAGTAAAATCGTGTAAAAAACAAAAATTATAAAGATCGATATTGCAAACAACTTTTAGTTTAACAATTTTCTTAAAAATCAGAATTTTGCACATTTTGTCAAATTTCTCGAATACGGACCATTTCAGGAAAATTTGGCATAAAACCAAAATTATAGATAATAATATTAGAAGTAACTTTTAATTGAACAATTTTCTTCTCCAAACATAAATAACAGATATATTCCATAAAATATAAAAACGATCTCCTATAAAGTACCCCCCAGATGTTCCGACTTTGTCCAAAATCTAATCATTTTACCTTAGACCGAAATAAAACTTAAGTTTAAAATTTAATTTTTTTCCTCTATCCGTTTTTGAGTTTTCTTCAAAATTCGAAATTTACACATTTTCTCAAATATCTCGAATACGGTCTATTTTAGAGAAATTATGTATAGAATAAAAATTATAGAGAATTATATTACAAACAACTTTTATTTGAACAATTTTTATAAAAAAATATTTTTTACATTTTGTCAAATTTCTCGAATATGGACCATTTTAGGAAAATTTTGTATATAACAAAAATTATAGATAATAATATTGTAAGTAACTTTTATTTGAAGAATTTTCTTCTTTAAACGTAAATTACAGATATATTCCATAAAATATAAAAATATCCACCTATAAAGTACCCCCCCCCACATGTTCCAACTCTGCCCAAAATCTAATCAGTTCACTCATTGTATTTAGATCAACTAGTAAAACAAAACCAATGCAAATTATCTTGGAGGACAATGGACAGTATCAATAGATGGCAGCAAGCTCCGTGGTGTCCAAGTCATGTCTTTGATAATTTTGTCGTCTTCCTAACGAACGTAATTTCCCTATTTACTAATAGATGGACCGATAATCGATTCAGAATATTTGTTTTAAAAATGAGATATACGAGTTTAATTATGCTTGATAAACATTTATTTACAATTTATCATCATTTTAGAGAATATAAACAATAGCAATTTAAAGTTGGCACTCTACCCATATGAATTTAAAAATTAAATTTTTTTTATGTATATAGAATTCTATACTCAATGATCGAGGAAGCCCTAGCGTTCGGGCTATTTTGATGAATTTCTAACAGATGTCGCGACAGAATTGCCTCCAATGAAACGTCCATAAGGTTGTTCTACTATCTTCTCTAAATACAATGGTTCACTGGAGGCTGGAATAAAGCTTAAGTTTAAAATTTGGTGCTTTTCTTTCGAGTTATCGAGCATACAGACACACACACACACACACACACACACACACGCACGCACGCACGCACGCACGCACGCACGCACGCACGCACGCACGCACGCACGCACGCACGCACGCACGCACGCACGCACGCACGCACGCACGCACGCACGCACGCACGCACGCACGCACGCACGCACGCACGCACGCACGCACGCACGCACGCACGCACGCACGCACGCACGCACGCACGCACGCACGCACGCACGCACGCACGCACGCACGCACGCACGCACGCACGCACGCACGCACGCACGCACGCACGCACGCACGCACGCACGCACGCACGCACGCACGCACGCACGCACGCACGCACGCACGCACGCACGCACACACACACACACACACACACACACACACACACACACACACACACACACACACACACACACACACACACACACACACACACACACACACACACACACACACACACACACACACACACACACACACACACACACACACACACACACACACACACACACACACACACACACACACACACACACACACACACACACACACACACACACACACACACACACACACACACACACACACACACACACACACACACACACACACACACACACACACACACACACACACACACACACACATCATCGCGAAAATAAGTCAAAACGGATTCAGATGATCCCAAAATGTAAAAAACCGTCGATAACTCGAGGTCGAAAAAAATCATGATTCCTATACTTTCCTTATATCTGTATACAGATAGGAAAGTAAGGGTGAGATTACAGAACGTCTGCAACTTTGCAGATCTGCAAATATGGCGGCAACTTTGAAAATCTGCAAATATGATTGACTTACACATGCAAGTATCAAGTTTTCGTATTCCAAATTTGGGTTTAGTGTTGTTGGGGGTAATAAATCACAATAAATATTGCGAATTTGCAGATCTGCAAAGTTGCAGACGTTCTGTAATCTCACCCTTATAAAGATACTAACTTTTGTTGGCTGTATGTTCTAACGACAAGAGGAAGAATAAAGTTGGCTGAAAACCCACTTTAATAAAGACTTTACGAAAAAAGAAGAAGTGTTGAATGTTGACACTTCACCGGCCATGTTTGACATTTATTTTTGTTTTACATTATGATAAAAATTAAAATGTTTATTATGTCTTAAAATATATTTATTATAGGAAATACAGTATTTTGTTGACTTTTTTTTACCCGAATTGTGAGTATTATGTTTTCTCGAAATATATTCATTAACTATTAATTCAATAACAAACACTTTAATTATATTTATGCAGTGTATTGTTTAGTTTTTTTTGTTCTCTAATTTTTTTAATTATGTATATTATAATTGTTCCCTTCCTCGCAATAGGCAACTATCATCCCATTTAACTGAATCTGAACAGTCACTCAGGACGGGTTGTATTACAGCTGGTTACAACATATAAACCTCAGTTATATCATAATGTTTTATCAGTCACTAACAGAAGTTTGCCTGTTGGGTTGGTTAAGCCCAGTTCTTCTAATCACTCAATTTCGGCTGGTCGAGGGTTTGACCACAGAACGTTCATTATATATTAATGTTTTAACGCCTGTATGCACTGTACATGTTTAATCCAGATCAAGGGTTTAATCACGTTTAGTACCATTTTTAGCTATGTACCATAATAAAAATCATTCTCAATCCGATTTTATTCTAATCCGTCAATATCGGAGAATTAAATTATTTATTCAAGATTTTTTAACATAAATATGTCAACATTTTGTCAGTATATTTGGAACTTTCTATTTGTGTTTCTTTTATTTATTTTATTTGAATTTTATTACAAAACAGAAATAGAATACCAGCTTTTCTTGGAAGATGACTACAGTATTTTAACATTTGTACAGAAAATAATTATATCCTCAAAACCAGTATATTTAATAGATAAATGTCAAACCCAGAGCAACTATGCATCAGCATGCTATTAGGGACCAATCACAACTTAATATGCCACAATTTCGCTTGACTACATATAATGCGATTAAGCTATATAACGGACTAGGATCTTAACACAAAAAATATCAAATCAACAAGTATTTTTAAACAAAATGTCAAAAGTTTGCTCTTATCCCAGCAGTAAAATGTGAAGATCTAGTCTGCCTTATAGGAATTATTATTTTGTATGTAATGTAAATAATATATAATGTAAATATAAAATTTTAATGTAATTACTAGTGTAAAAGTTCGATACAATTAAGTTTATGTATAAAATTGTTTCCGTCAAATACTATTATAATTTCTTTATTTAACATGGCTTAAGATTTTGTATAAAGTTGTTTGTGTCAAATATTATTATTATTATTATTTATTTAACATATCAATACTTTAGGGTTAGGTGTAAGAATAGCCAAGCTAAATCTCGCCCTATGTACCTTACTTTTGTGCAATAAAGACATTTATTATTATTATTCTAGACAAAATTAGCAGAGAAGTGAATATTTTTATACAATGAGCAACTTTGTAATTTTTAAGAGATGTTTTAAATTCTAACTTTACAGCTTAATTCTGTAGTTAGATGGCAAATCCAGACATGTTGAAAAAGGTAAAAATAAGTAAGCAATACATATAATATTTATGTGATTTTATCCACTTTTAAATACTGAAAATATGTCATATCAATATAGTTTTGAACATGCACAGTGTAGGGAAAGTATTGATATAGGTAGGTAGGCTTGAAATACAGCAGTTTGTATGTATATATGTTAAAATTACCAAAAATGAACATAATGGTTTGCCATCCAACTATAGAATTTTTTTTTTTTAAATTCATTTGACATTCTTTTTCACCCTGCATAAAATTCTGTTGTGTCACAGAACACTTGTATGCGTT